GAGGTTGGCTTTGAACTTGTGATCCTCCTGCCTCAGCATCCCAAGCTGCCAGAATTACAGGCACACGCCATCTGGCCCAGCTTCCCTTTACTTTTTAAACCAGGGGTTTCTGATGCCTGGAATGAAATAATTTAACTAGCTTTTATCTTTGCCTGTATGTTAAACAGTAGCTATACTGTATTTTTACAAAAACACCAAGGCTTTACATTTTGGAAAAATAAGAGCAAAAGGAAGCATTAATTGAAAAAGCAAAAAGACAATCCCAGTGCCTCCCCTGGCTCTTCTTATGTGCTAGGAACCATGCTGGGTGCTTTCCAGATCAATCACACCTGCCGGGTCTCCATCATCCTGTGGATGGGGAAAATACACCAAAGGAGTTCAGGATCAATCTACAGTGACACAGTGGTGTACAGGGGCAGGTAAGCCTAAGTCTGTCTAACACCAACTTCTCTTGCTTCACATTATGTCATCCTACTCAAAAAGAGAGAGTGAGGAAATGGTGAAGGGACACAGAAGAGGTAAATATACAGCAAGACAGAAAAACAAGTCACATTTTTTTTTAAGAGAGAGAGAGAGAGAGAATTTTAATATTTATTTTTTAGTTTTCGGCGGACACAACATCTTTGTTGTATGTGGTGCTGGCACTACCGCTAGAGCCACATCCCCAGCCCCTGAAGGCACATGTTAATGAGACACAGCCAATTCTGAGGCAAGGACACTCATCAGAGTATACCTACCCAACAGGCTGACATTGTCCTTTGAAAAACACAACATGATCTCACAACATGACCCCAAATCCTTGGTGCACCCAGAATTTGCTCTTCTGCCTCCATTTCTAATTTTCAAAGTTCTTTTAAAGAAAAGATTTATTTTCTCATTTCTCAAGGCTCTATGTGTAGTTTCAGATACCGACTTTCAGATCTAGAGTATGAGATTATTTATTGTCCATCCCAAAATAAACTTCTGATGGTCCATTTGCTAAACATACAGACTGCAGATATATAAAAGATGCTGCCAGGTTTACCTGTGATATAACCTGAATGCCATCTGTACAAGTGTCACAACTCTGGATTTCTATGCAACTTAAAAAAAGTAAGATAGACTGCTATGTACTGATGTGGAATAATTTCCAATACAACAGAAAAAAAATGCTACATTACAGTGGGTATGTGTGCTAAATTCAGGACCAAAAGTCAGATCCATACTTCTGCTCATACCAGGAGAAACTGGTGGCAGCAGTTGCTCTGGGGAAGGAAAATGGGGATTAAGGGAAGGGAGGAGATTGGCTTTGCACTCACTGGTCACCCATGTACAAACTTAGTACTGCACTTTTTTAGCAAGTGCAAGGATAATCTCTTTAAAAACATTTTTTTAATTTTAAATCAAACTATCCATTGTGTCTTTCCTCTAAGCCAGATCCATTTTTGAGATCTAGAAGTGTATGAGTGGAGGAAATATACTCTTCTCTTTTCACTTCTTCTGGTAATGAAACAGGAAGAACTCCTTCCCATTTCTTTCTTTCTCTTCAAACAAGTTCATTTATCTGTTTATTTATTTATTTTGGTACCAGAGATTGAACCCAGGGGCACTTAACCACTGAGCCACATCCCCAGCCCTTTTTATTTCTTAATTTTGAGACGGGGTCTTGCTAATTTGCTGAGGCTGGCTTTGATCTTGAGATCCTCCTGCCTCAGTCTCTAGAGTTGCTGGGATTACAGGTGTGAATCACCACACCCAGCCATATATTTGTTTCTTAAAGAAAAACAAACTAAAAATCCCCAGCTTACTTAAGTTATCCATGTTCACTGAAAACATCCAAGTAAATGGAAAAATAAGCACTCACACCACCACTTTTTTTTTTTTGGTTGTACCGGGGATTGAACTCAGGGGCACTCAACCACTGAGCCCCATCCCCAGCCCTATTTTGTATTTTATTTAGAGACAGGGTCTCACTAAGTTGCTTAGCGCCTCACTAATTAGCTGAGGCTGGCTTTGAACTCATGATCCTCCTGCCTCAGCCTCCCTAGCTGCTGGGATTACAAAGCATCTACCACTATGCCCAGCTAGCCACTCTATATTTTTATAGTGTGTCTGTTCAGCTATGTATTTTTCTGCACATACATATTTATACTTAACTGCATAGGAATACCTTGGTTACTTCTTTTGAATTTGTGTTATTTTTATTTGTGTAATTGATCTTCTCTACTGTGGCATATAGGTTGTTCCTGATTTTGACTATTATGAGCAGCACTGTGATGTGCATGAACCTCTGACAAGTCATTTTCCTCTAGAATAAGTCTGTAAGGACAAGAGCCTTCATCATCAATCTGTTAATCTAGCTTCTACCTCCACCTAGAGTTGCTGCTCCACGTGCCCTTTTAATTGGCCACCTGCTCCTATGCCAAACTCCAATCTGAGATGATTTTGTGCCTCTGGAGAAGAGTAAAATGTGCTTCCTTCTGTAAGCATTCTTTTCTTTTTAATTATTAGTTGTTGATGGACCTTTATTTATTTATTTATTTATATGCGGTGCTGAGAATCAAACCCAGTGCCTCATACATGCTAGGCAAGCGATTTTTCCACTGAGCCACAACCTCAGTCCCTGTAAGCATTCTTTTACATTCCACTGAGTAGCCATACCTTCTGTGTGCCTGGCCTTCATTCAATTCAACCCTAGAAAACTAGTTTTATCTATTTACTTACTTGATTCTCTAAACTGATAGCTGAGCCTGAAACCCTCAACTCCATGGACCACACTTATTCTTTAAAAAATATATTTTTCCACAAAGAGTACATAATAAACAAAATTAGTATACATGATAGTAAATCTAACATTTATTCAATGCTATGTGTGAGACATTGTATTGAGTTAATAGCTATTTTTTTTTTTCCTTCAGCACTGGGGATTGAACCCAAGGGTGCCGTACTTTTGAGACAGGGTTTAAGTTGCCAAGACTGGCCTCAAACTTGCCATCCTCCTGCCTCAGCCTCCCGAACAGTTGGGATTACAAGGCCACTGTACCCAGTCCTACCTAGACTTCTAAGATTGAATTCTTCCCCTGTTCTTTTATCTTAATGATACTTTTCTTAGAAGTCCTATACAAATAAGGTTTTAAAAGATTATTACTCCTTGGATATTTCCCTTAAGAACATTTCAAACCCTGTCCCTGGTAGCATCAACTCACATGTACACACCCTATTACCCAAAAGAATGCCCCAGAGAACCTGCATTCAAGGACTCCCACTCCACTATCACCCTCCCCTCCTCATTCACACATATGGATCTCCCTGCTTCTTCCAGATGCCGACAAACCCCACCTACTTGGAGACCTTCCTCCAGCACCGTCTACCACACTGCGACTTCTCCTTTGCCTGGAACTCAAATGTCATGTGGCGCACAATTGTGGACACATTTGGATTATCTTTTAGTTTGTCAAGTGATTGAAAACTGTGACTATACTGAGAGTGGGGACCATGTCCTTCACTTCTGTACCCCAGAGTGCCCTGCACAGGGTGATACAGACAACGTTCAACCACTACTGAAAGAATGTATATTAAAATCCAAGTTAACCAATAACACAACAGACACGAGAATAATATGTACATTCCTTTTTATTTAATACAACAAACACGTAACACATACAAAAAGAAAAAAAAAAAACCCACTCTCATGTAAAAGGCCCTGTCACAAAGGATAGACAGGAAACATCTACACTGAATCAAATAAGGCTCTTGCTTCAAAACAGGGGTTCGCCAGCTACACCTGGAATATGAGCAAGGCTGTTGCAAAAACAATAAAAGAAAAATAAACAAAAGTCCCTGCACTGAGGAGTATATCCATGGGGTGATTTACTAAATTCACAGATCCATATTTAGGAATGTTTATGCTCTTTTGCAGATCCAAAATTCATCATTTTATGAAATGTGTGAATTGTTTTCGTTAAAGAAATTTACCTGCTCTTCTTTTTTCTTAGGAAAGCGTGGCAAGAGCTCCCTAAGAGCTAGAGAGCAGCAAAGTCTGGAAGGCTTCACCATGAACGTTCAAAGGGCAGGTAGAACTGAGAATGCAAAGGCAAGGTGGCAGTGGGGACAACAATTTAACCCTAAATCATTTCCTGGTAGCTAGCATTTAATCAATCACCCGCAAAGACAGAATGGAAATACCTCGGCTCAGTGCAGGGTCAGTAGCAGCAGTTTGTCCATATTCCTGCTCCGAGCTGAGCCAGAAATTAAACAAGCACCAGTTCATCTCAAAAGAGCCTTATACAGACACAGACACACACACACACACACACACACGCACGCACACACACACCCACTCATGTGTCATCACCACCCCCTTTTATTTAAATTTATTATTATTATTTTTTTACTAAAATAATACAAAAAAGGGAGACAGGTATATTTACAAAAATCCATGGCTGGTACAGTACATAATTTTTAAGACACACTAAATGCTACAATCTTTCAGGTCCTGAGATTATTACAAATATCAACTCAAAGCTTGTGTTCAGGTCCAGTTTTTAAAGGAGGAAAAAAAAAATCCCAAAATATTAAGTCACACACTTATTTGAAATACAGCATTATCCCTTCAAGTTAGCAAAAAATGTGCCTCCCTACCAGCAGGTGCAACACAGAAAGTCGTGCCCTTCACCTAGAGGACCGTCTGTCTACTCCTTGGGCTCTTGTGACTGCTTTTAAAACATGGTGGCATCTGTTAAGTGTGAAGGTGGCTAAAGAAGAGGGACTGTTTAATTGGAGGGAAGCCCCTCTGTAGAGTGGATATTTAAAGTTCTGTTTTTCCTTCTGCTACAAACAAGTTTTTCCCTTATCAAAATTCATAAGGTAAGGATTGGAAATATGTGCTTGCTCAGACTAAAAATCAGACTCATGATTTCGAATCAATAGCAAATAACAAATAGGCCTGCAGTTCCATAATAATTTTTACAACTTCAAATAAATCTTCTTGTTCATAATTAAAGAGAGAAAACACTCATTACTTAGTTACCTTAGTAGACTTTAATATATTATTTGGGGCATAAAAATTTTAAACCAGCCAGAGATTTATTTTCCTCTTCTTTAAAGTTTGACAGTGCTTAGCAAGAGACATGGGCGAGCCTCAGATTTACAGACTTTCTTCAAAGAACAATTTTCTATTTCTGATACACTTCATAATTTTTCAATGGCAGTTGACAAATGAACAGTTCAACGCTTGGATCTCTTCTCTGGAGGCTAGCCATGGATCAGAGGCAATCATTTGTAGGGTAAGAACCAACCTGCACTGGTAGAAGGCCCCCTGATTATCTGAAGGTGTCAGAAGGTATATGTAATTCATTATGTAGGCATAGCCAAGATAAAACAAAAACGAAACAAAACAAACAAAAACCCAACCAAAGTTGGCCAAACTTTCCAACTAATTATATAAAACAGTAATATCTTTGTCAACTGACAATAACTCTTTTCCTTTTAATGCTACTAGATTGAGGAAATCCTTGGTAATTCTGCAGGTAAGGGAAAGAAAACCCAATTTTTCAGACAGAGGGCACACTACTCCTAAAAACAGCAGAGATCAGCAAAAAAAGGAGGAAAGTTTATAACTGCAAGCACAGAAAACACAGGATAGCTAAGGTCTGATGATTTAAGAGCAGGTTGTCAGACAGAAAAACATGTCAACCAACCAGTCTTGGTTGCTGCTAACTGCTAAATGTGCTCTGTTATTAGAAGTAGTTTCAAGTCACTGTGAGTAATAATCAACTGTATTTCAATCAGGCTTCTACTAGTGCTCTATTATAAAATATCTAAAAGCCAGATTTAAGATAGAATTCTATTATTGATAGCAAATGGGAGCAAATACTGTATACAAAGTTTTCTGAGGAACATAAAATTGTTACTAAGGATTCAATAAAGCCTGCTTGACTCAGATTTTACAAAGTAGATTTGTGCTAATGTATGAAGACCGTCAGAGAAACAAGAGCCCCTGAAAAAGGTTTGCAATAACTGTGAAAGCTATTAGGAGGAAGCCACAAAATATGCTATTACCACATTATATAGTAACATTTGTGTGTGTGTGTGTGTGGTGCCGGGGATCCAACTCAGTCTTGCGCATGCTAAGCATGCACTATACCATTGAGTTATAACTCCAGCCTATGCAATCTATTTTTTTCAATCCAAAGGAGAAAAAAATTCCAGTCATCAAGTCCTGGACGCAAAGATCTTTAATTATATGACAGAGATTTCAAATAGCGTTATTGACCTGTCTGGATAACAATTTGAAAAAGTGTCCACAGTTTAAGTACTACCTGACTATAAAATGGAAATTTGGAGAAAAGACTGAGAAATAGAAATACTACAGTATGAAGAAATAAACAAAATGCACAAATAGCTAGTTTCAAGCAAATGGTACTTAGGGAGTATATGAGGGAAATGTTACTCCTAAGGCAGTCTCTGCCTGCATCCTCTGCTGGGATATCAATAGTTTCTCAAATTGTAGGCTTTAGAGCTCAGTGGGGTCATTGGAAACAGCACCACAGAGAGTGAGAAGAGGATGTGAAGACAGTTTGACCTTTCCTCTCCAGACTCTAAACAATTTTGTCACTTTTTTGGGGGTGGAGATACTGGTTGATGACATGGTTAACTTACGAGCTCGCAGCAAAGGAAAGAAGAACAAAGACTAAGGAAATGAAGAAAGAACAATTCAACATAACTATTCAAAGCTATTTTTAATTCGAGTCTGACCCCCTGTTCAGCTCTATAAACCTGAACACTGTGTCACAGAATCTAAAACTGCAGAATGGAACACTGGGACGATTTCATCCTAACAAACCAGACATTCCACAACACTAACTACAGTTCCACACTAGTGAAAGGGTCTGCAGTTAGCGTTTGAATTTTAAGTTCACATTTTAGGATAAACACATAAACTATGTCTATTTTATACTTCTGTTAGTTTTCCCTGGAGGAACAAACACATTCAACAAAACCCTTTTGTCTTAGTTCTTTGGGTAGAAGTCTTAACATTTGTTATCTGAAGAATGGAAAAATAGGGAAATGTGTTAAATAAAAAGTAGGGTTATCTGCATAGTTGATATTTAGAAGCTACTAACTAAGGCCTTATCTGGAAAAAGCAACAAAAAGTCAAAAAGGTGATTTAAAACCAGACCAAACCAAACCATATCACTAGAGATTAACTGGGTCTTAGCCAATCCTGGAATTCACCAGATGAATCTGCTTGGACCTGGTGCTTTCTCCTAACTCACTTGAGCTGGAACTGTTCCTCAAACCCCTGCATTCTCTTTCCTGACCCTGAATATATGCTACACTTCAAACTCACACACACATCCTAACGTTTAGCCCTAACTAAAATTGCAGCATCCATTTTTTTCCTGTTGTTTTAAGTGATAAAAGGAAAATTCTATGTATTACTAGTACATAGGGATGGAAAGTGGGATGAATTGATCTTTTCCTTCTCTCCTGACCATCCCCACTCCTGACCCAGCTGTGAAACGAATCCTGCCTCCCTGTCCCATTTTCCTATAACCTGAGCAGCTGATAGCTCCAACTCTTGTGTAGGCTGGAGAAGCCTGAAACACAAAGGTAGAACTGGCTAAAAGTGTATGCAGCTGGCTATGTGTAGTGCTTGCTCCTTCAGTGCAGAGCTGGATAAATCTACAGTTACAGGAATTGCATGCGGTGTCTGATTTACGCATAAGGAGGCTCCCCTTCACTCTTAGAAAGTTAAAACTTGGTTATCCATCACCAAACAAGTAATATAAGAAAATTAGATTGAGAAGATGAAAAAGTGAGGCAGATAAAACTTTCAGAATAATTTATCAATTCCAATAATTAATCATCCAAACAACTTTAGCTCCACAAAGACCTTTGCAAAAATCATATAAGCAGTAATCCCATAAAAAGCTAAAAACAAAACACCCCTTATATTTAAGAAACTTAGTGTCATTCCTCAGCTTTGTTAATCTGAAACTAACCATTTTTTCTATATACTATGTTTGAATAACAAATACGTATCTAAATTAGAGTTTCAGTGATATTTTTTAAAACTTAAAAATTGTGGGGTACTCTTTATATCCATACAAGGAAATCATTTTTTAGCCTCTGCAGGATGTAATAGTATTTTTAATTATATAGGACATTTTAGAAAAACTCAAAATATTTTTGAAATAGTAAAGTCTCTGATATCCCTGGGAGGTAGGTGAATATTTATACCCAATTGTCTCATGGGTAATCTGAGGCACAAAGGTTAGTTAAATGATGTCCCCGTAGACCCAGTAATTTAGAAATTAACACTCACTACTGAACTCTGGCTGCCTGACAAAGTTTTGCTACTAGGAGTCTCTGCTTTCTCCTTTTAGCCACCAGTCTCTTTTCTTCAAATAAAAGTTTACTTAAAAGGGGGCACTTATTAGATATACTGTATTGTTTTTGAGGATTGGTTCAATTTAGTCTCCCTTAACATGTCACATTATATATATTTTTCACAAGAAACAGACAAATCTTAAGATACTGAAAATTATAGTATTTTGCTCAAGGGAGAAATCTAAACAACCAGAAAATCAGAGTCAAATGTAGTTATCTGACTAAAAAAATAAAGGCTGAAGAGCTCAAGAATGCTATAGATTATATGAGTGTTGTCCTCAGTATCTGAAGTCTTTCTACTTCTATGTTTATTAATGTTATAATAAATATGTAGCTATGATTTCTTAAAAAAATCATTTCTCCAGAAGAAAATATGATACATTTTTAATGTTGACACAGTTGCAAACTTCCTTCAAAATGTATTCAGATAGCATCACACGGTTCCAACTCTAGCCCTACAAGTTTTGAGTCTTGCCTGCCACAGTGCACTTAATCAATTCAATCCACAAGAGACTCTTGTTAGTCCAATGCTTTCTCCTATATTACATATGCCAAGTTTGAACGCATGGAGCAGTAGGTTATATCCAGGAATAGTCAACGAATCTGCTAAATTTATTTTACTCGTAAAACTATATATTTATATATATATGTATATATATATCTGTTACATCTACAAACAGATATTTAAAGGGGGAAGATAGCATCTTGTGAAAAGACAATTTCCCAATCCACCTATTTAATCAACTTGACTAAAAGCAACAGAATAAACAGAAGTTTTGCAAATGTTGAAAGGGGAGTGGTTCAAAGAGGATGCAATGATACAGCAGCCACTAGTTTTGTCTGTAAGTCTATACGTATCTTTCAATATAGCCATATACACATAAAGAAAAGGAAGAACATTACAGCATGACGTGACATTGGCAAGTTTGACATTCTTCCTCCTGAATCCCCTGACTTATCAGTCTGCACTTTAGGAGATCTGAGAACACTTTCGAAAGAGGGGGAAAAAATAAAGGAAAAAAAAAAAGGCACTTAACAAAGACAAAGGCCTGAATTGAGCATGTTTTAGAGGAGTAATATAAGCATTTATCAGAGCTAAGAAATTATTTACAAAGAGTTAAACTTTTCCCTTAAAATTTTATAAAATAAAATTGCATAACATGTTTGTGATCAGTCATTTATCTACTACTGTACTTTTCTTCTGCTTCATTTTTACAAAACTGAAAGCACCCTCCACAAAGCAAAAACAACAACAACAAAAAAAAAACAATCATACATGCGCAATAGAAAGTAAAAGTGCCCCTTCTGAGAACATTAGGTCAGCAGAAATCATAGTGCTGAAGCACAGGGAAAGTTCTCAAGTTTGGCCTGATTATAAGATTTTTCTCATTCTTCTTTTTTCCAACTTGAAAAACAAAACAAAAGCCAACAAATGAAGCAAGCAAATTCAAAACAAAATGATAAAAACAATATAGGGACCAGTGTGTTTTTTTATGGTACACTCCTAAAATAAAGTATCCTAATTCTACACATGGGTCAAATTATATGACAAAACTTCTAGAAATAAAGAAGTGTAAATTAAAGTCATCCAAATACAAGTTCATTTTACAAAGGTAGCAGCAAATATGATAGATAACTGGAGTTTGAGAGGTGATCCCAAAGGACACAGAGTTCTCAATATCAATGGCAGTTTGAATAACAGTAGAATTTTCATTTCAGAAAATGTCTTAAACCAAGTAGAGGTGGAAAGGAGAATGGGAGAGGGCAACCAGAGGAGAGAGACTAGAGGTGCCTGCCCTTTCCATCCCTGGGTAGTAAACAATTTAGATCTGCTTTGGGAAACAAATATCCTGGGTTAAAAATCAGTTCCAATAAGTTGTTTTCAAACAGGTGTCAAACCCACAGTATTAAAAAACTTTTCTGTGCCCGGTTCTTCCCCTTATGTCGGAAATCCAATAAACCCGATTCAGTGTCTATGATACAAAATAATTAATTTGGGCTAACAACATCCATCAAAGGGGTGGTGGGCATACAAGAATTTACTAGCACAATCCTCTTGATTTCTTTAAGATATCAGGATTTTGTGGCTACAGTTCAACCTCACTTCTTTTCCCAAAACCTTTTCTTCAGGATGTTTTAAAATCATGATTTCTAAACCTCTGATATCAGAAGCATATGAGAAAAAATTATAATTAACTTATAATGGAAATTATTGCTTGCATTTACTTTGGAGGCTCTGAATGAGCTTGACACTTTGCTCCCAAACAGTCTCCAACTGAGGCCCAGCACTGCTATCTCTGAGGACAGCTCTGCTGACCGTTATTGCTTGTGAATACTGAGGATTACCTAGTATGTACAGTAACAGCTTATATATCAGTGAAGGCAATTTCAAACATAAGACAGTTGGAAACAAACAGCTTAATCTTCCTGAATCAAGAATCCCGCTGAGTGGGATATAATTAAGTGTGCTGATTACTTTTGCATGTGGATGTTGCTAATGCTCTTTAGAAATACACATTGTTCTATAGATAACCTTTCCAATCATTCACCATTTTAAAAAATAACATAATTTGATTTTAAGTGCAAAAATACAGTATGAGTCACAAGTCTCTGTTAAAAAATAACCAATTTATATGTTTGTTTTTTAGTAATAAAAACTGTAAAGACAGGTGACCATGAAGCTTGGACACCATTTTCAATGTTAGGATCTAGAAAAGAAATGTTTGTATTTACATGCAGAAATCTCTGATCATACTTTATGGAGAAAGACAAGGATTTTGACCCATTTGTACAACATAAAAGAGGGGTCTTGATTGAAACGAATAAAAATTGATCAGTAAAACGGGGAAAGGGGTTGCTGAGGTGGAGATCTGACATAGTTGTCAAGGATTCAAGACTGAAGAGAATAGAACATAATCTCTATATCATATTCTCAGAGCCAAGGGCCTTCAGGTATTTGACTGGTTAGCATAAAATGACACAGGAGAGAATTAATCCTGATGTTTTCTAATGACGGCAGAGTCCTCAAGGATCTTCATATAGCATAATTCAGAATTGGTGGATTTAAGAAATTACAATTATTATTCTTTGACTTATACCAGCAATTCATAAGAAGATACATGTGTATATGTGCACACACATACACATGTGAACACCATATACAGCTATTGGCAGGAAGGCAAGGTTAATATACTCTCTAACTTCTTTCCTGGCAGACAAAGTAAAGTAAAGCCCTCTTCTGGAAGGAAAACTCATCATCGTACCCAGGAATATGAGCAAAGGCAAAAGCAAGAGGTCTGTTACAATGGAATAATCATGAGTCTAGTAAGCTTCCCTAATTAAAAAACCAAATAAATCTTAATCAAACTTACTGAATTCAAATCAAACCTCTTTACAACATCCCAGTATCCCTCCAAAATATCTACCAGGATTCATCCACATTTGTTTTATTGGTAAACTAAATTCTGAAGAGGTGAAATATTATATCAATGATTCCTTTGAAATAATCATTTCTCCTTATTGTAACAAGTTCTCGGAACTGAAGTTTTCAGTTATTTATTAACCCTTTTGCTATAAAACAAGCCAATGTGACTTTGAAGTCAAAATATAGGCATGTAGATCAGAACAGATCTGTGATTATTTATAGTCCTGTAGGCTATTTGGGACTTCTGTTTACTAAAGGAAAAAAAGGGCCTCATTAATACTCTTATTTGAATAAACTTACTGGTACAGGGTAATGGAAACATGGAAGAAAGCTTGCGCTCACCAATCTAGTGCTGATTTTTTGGTTAGTCTGCCATAAACTGACCAAGGTTACACCATGCAGAGCTTAACCATTCTTGGGTATAGTTTGAAAATACTCATAAGTTTAAAACTCAAGAGATAACAGAATGATGAGGAGGCAAATAAAATGTATGCAAAGAGAACTATAAATTTTTCCCTTCACATCCTTTGTTAGCTATGCTATTTGCTTAGTTAAAGAAGCTATAATAACTAAGAAGTCTTCTTTGTAGGCTTACTTGCTATCAACACTGAGAAATATCAGTAAAGCTTTAAAACTCCAAATGCTTGAAACAATTTCACAACATTGGATAAAGCGAGTTAAACCACATTGTGATTGTTATAAAAAAGATACTCCCTTGTACATAATGAGCCTAATGCAATTCCTCTCCCTAAAAATTAAAAAACCAAACAACTATATATGTGCTATTTGGATGACCAGTGAGGAAACACAGGTAGTACTCACTGCCACCTGTTTGTATCAACAGCCAACAATCACCTGAAGAACCCCTAGCTGAAGGAAGAGAGAGGGAAGTTGTGAGGTGAACTTGGGGGAATTTACAGTTTTTGTTGGTAGGGCCTGCAAGGGTGAATGAAGATGAGGAAAGCAGCAGCCCTATAATAAAGATTTCCATTACTCAAGTGAAACTGAGTCACATTTTAACATCAAGACTAGAAATAAAAATGAACCAGTCAAAACTAGATACATAAATCACCTGAAGAAAAGAGTTAAGTACCTACTTCTGAGTGGAAGATGAAATTGACCCTTTCACAAAAAGGGGACACGTAGGTTTTTGTCTGTTAAGAGCAACAGGCTCAATTTCTTGACTTTTAAAAATCTAAATGATTTAGTAATATACATAACTGTGCTAAAATAATTTTCCTGAAGCATCTTCAGTCCACTGATTTACATGGGGAGTTGCTACATACTGGAGAAGATTCAAGTTTGCTCAGGATGTTTGAGGGTACATTATTTCTTCAGCTAGTGTTTATATCAGACATAGGGTCACCCAATTATTTTGTTGCAAATTTGCTAAATGTCCACTTAAACAGGCATGATTATTACTCCTGACAAACTAGCCTAATTCCAGATCTATTGCTTTTATTATTCAATTATGTCTACAAGTGTTCAGAGCCAACCCCCAGGATGGATGGTGTTTACCCAAATCCTCTCAACTTCCTCTTTCCTCCCCCGGGGAAAAAATAATTTGTACTTCTGTGGGTTTGACAGCTGAGTCTCTTTCAAGTCAGGTAACATGGTAACTTTGTCTTTCTTTAGCAGAGACCAAAGGTCACTAACTTTGCACAAAAGCATTTCTTCCTCCTGCACCTGGCTTTGCTCAAGTAATGTTTTCTTTCCTTTTCCTCCTCACCACAGTGCTTGGGACGAGAATGTAAACATCGACAGAAACAGCAGCCCTGTGACCACATAAGGACTTTCCCATCAGGTAGATCCCGTCAGCCAGCTACACGTCTCATCTCTCTGCTTGCTGAGAAGTCACTGAGATTTCCGTGGTAACTTAGTGTCCCCTTTACTTTGGCCTCCATCTGAGAAAAAGAGATGTTAAACTGGTATAGTTTGGCATGTTGTAAAAAGCAAATAAGAGAAACAGAACAAAAAAGACTTTAAAATTTTTATGTGGATGACCTCTCTCAAAAGATAACCTTTAATATTTCACATGGTGTAAAGCACTATAGTGGCTGATTATGTCCGATGCTGGGAGGAGTATAAAGGAATGAAAATATTTCCACCTTCTACCACATCTTTTGATCCCTTTGAGAAAATTTTTAGTTGGAGACAGACACAATATCTTTGTTTATTTATTTATTTTTATGTGGTGCTGAGGATCAAACCCAGTGCTTCACATGTGCTAGGTAAGCACTCTACCACTGAGCCACAACCCCAACTCCAATGACACAGTATTTGATAATTAATTCCCACTATGTAAACGAATGCAGCACATTGGTAGTGAAAAATTCAGATGTATTTCTGTTTTGGTCCTAACCTAGCAAAAGTCTAGGTTACTGGGAACCTAGTCTGCTACTGGGAACAATGGTTTCTATTTCTACATTCTATTGTTTTACTGTTTATGGGGAAAATGTTGATTATTTAAATCTTAGCTAAATTACCTACAAATGCTGGGAGAGGATAGAAAAAGGGGATACCTGGGCAAGAGTAGGACCCAATGACCCGGAGAGCCAACGGAATATAGAGAAAGTCTCTAACAGGTTAAAGCCTTAGGCAAGGAAAACGAAGGCCCCAAGACAACCCAGGCCTGAGAGAAAAAGACAGGGGAAGGAAAGCTTTACTTCAGGGAAGAGGCATGAATGTTAGAAACACACAGGTGAAAAGGAACAAATTATTACAGCACAATAACAGTATCTTAAGGCTGGAAGAGGCCATAAATGTTACATGGCCAGGCCCACTCATGTGATATCTACATTACTTTGGAAAAACATAAAACCAAAAAAATTGCCTCTCTTGAAGAAAAGCTGTATCAATGAAATACATATCTATTTCAAAAGCTATATTAATAGAATACTATTAAAATGATTTTGGTGATAACACCTAAGTTTTTCTCATTTATAATAGGATATATTTACATTTGTAGAGTAATGGTTTGATCTGTGGTATAATTAAATTCATAAAATGGTACAGCAGTTTAATAAATGACTTTTTGCCCAAAGAAATTTTAAACTGAGCAAAATAAAATACTCAGATTTAATTGGACTGAATTTTTTGGTTTTCCTCCTGTAATGAGGATTGAACCTAAGACCTCACTCCACATGCTAGGAAAGCACTCTACCACTGAGTTATATCCCCAGCCCTTTTTGTTTCATTTTGAGAAAGGGTCTTGCTAAGTTGCACTGACAGGCCTTAAACTTGCAATCCTGCCTCAGCGTCCTAGTAGCTAGAATCATAGGAGTATGTCACTGAACCAGGCTTGGGCTGTGAAATTCTTTACCTGGCCTATCTCCTGTTTTTGTAAATGAAGTTTTGTTGGAACCCTGTCAAACTTTGTTTACATATTGACTATGGTTGTTTTTGTCCTGTAATGGTAAGGTTGAGTAGTGGTAACAGACAACATATGCCTACAAAGTCCTTTACAGAAAAAACTTACTGATCTATTGTTTCAAACAAGAGAATTAACATTAATTGGGTTCTTACTATGTACCAAGTACCATGCTAGAAGCTTTAATCAGTTATTTTTATTAGAGTCCTAAAAGAAGTCTATTTAAAACATCTTTTTGTCCTCAATTTATAAGCAAGAGAAATGATGGTCAAACAAGAATCCTGCTACAATTGGTGGTTCTGGAATTAAAAACCCAAGGCTGATCCTTTTTTTTTTTTGATGGTGCTGGGGATTGAACCAAAGGTCTTGTGCGTGCTAGGCAAACACTCTACCAACTGAGCTATATTCCCAGCCCGCTCAAGTCTGGTTCCCAAGTTCAATTTTTTATGGTAAAAAGTGTTTTTAAATGAAAAATTTTAAACTTTTTAACTTCAATTATTTGGAAGATATGGACAGTCATATCTCCTTCTGGTTCTGGAATGGTGGTATTGACAGACAATAAGATGATTCACAAAAATCCAGTTTGTATAATTCCTCACAGATGGTCACACTCATGCCAATCTGCCCCAGGAGCAGGCAGATGGTCCCCATCTGAATCATGACACTAAGCAGATGTCCACAGTCAGTGAGGATCCAGTTCAGTCACAGAGCAATCATCCTTATGAATGTAAGCCTAATCAAGTTCGGCAAGATCAGGAGTGCTGATATTTGTTACTACTTTATATTGCCCATTTTGTACAACTGGATGAGCCTGGTCTTATTTATTTATTAATATTTATTTGGTACTGTGGCTTGAATCCAGGGGTGGTTCACCACTGAGCTAAACCCCCAGTCCTTTTTAAAAAATTTTATTTTGAGACAGGGTCTAAGTTGCCAAGGCCAACCTCAAACTTGTGATCCTCCTGCCTCAGTCTCCTATTTCGTTGGGATTATAGATGTGTGCCACTGTGATCAGTTATTTTTTATTTTTAACTGATATACAAAACCACAAAAGATGTATACATTAAAGGGATAGCATGGAAGGTTTCGTACATATATTCAATGTAATGCTCAAATCTGGTTTAAGTTTTTTTTAAAATAAGTTTTTGATAGTGAAAACCCTCAAAATTCTTTCTTCTAGATTTTTGAAATATACAGCACCGAACTGTCAATAGTACATCAGAGCTCCTTCCATCTGCCTTTGGTCTTTTTTTTTTTTTTTAAATCATATATTCTTTAGTTGTAGGTGGTCACAAACCTTTAATTAGTTTTTAATGCGGTGCTGAGGATCGAACCCAGTGCCTCACGTGTGCTAGGCGAGCGCTTTTCCTCTGAGCCACAACCCCAGCCCCTGCCTTTGGTCTTTTAGAGGATTAACGGCAATTTATTGCCTCAAGGTTGTTATGTAGCTCCCATTTCTACACTGTGGTCAATGGTAAACTGGTTCAAAGATCACTTTTAACGCAGTGGTTAAAAAGAATAGCGAGGTTCTTCTCAATTTCCAAAGTTAAAGAAGGTGGATAAATAGTTATTTCTCCTCAGAAGATCCTAAAAATGGCCTCCAGAATTGTATTTTAGGTGTCCACTGAGATCACCTACTGGTATGAGCAAGAATCTGGGCCTGGTGACACATGCCTGTAATCCCAATGGCTCAGAAGGCTGAGGCAGGAGGATTCCAAGTTCAAGGCCAGCCTCAGCAATTTAGTGAGGCCCTGAAAAAACTTAGGGGGGGCTTATTTCAAAATAAAAACAGGCTGGGAATATGTTTCAGTGGTTGAATGCCCCTGGGTTCAATCCCTGGTACCAAAACAAAACAACATCCCCCCCCCACCCAAACAAAATCAAACCAAACCAACAACAAAGAATCTGGAGGCCAATGTTTTATAAACAGGGCCAATATCCAACATCGGATTTCAGAGCGGGCTAGCAGAGCAGCAAGCAAGTATATAATGCATAGCATGAACCACATTAATTTAATCAATGCTAAGATGCAGGAAAGTCTAATGGTTAAGAAGAATACAACCTGGATGAGAGTGTAGCTCAGTGGTAGAGTGTGTGATTTGTATGTATGAGGTGCTGGTTTCAATCTTTAACACTATTTAAAAAAAAAGAAAAAGAACATAGGCTTTCTGGATTTGTATCTCAGACCACTTACTGGTGTGTTACCTTGGGCAAGCTGCTTATCTCTGATTATTTTCTGATCTGTAAAATGGGGATCATTATTTATCTTTCATGAGCTTGTTCTGAAGATTAAATAACTAGTCACATTAAACAGACACAAGACTAAATGGCATTTAGTGAGCTTTTGACAAATATGAACTACTATAATTTTGCAATGACTTCTGTTAACTATTTTTAAGAATCTTCTTAGCTATCATTTCCATATAATAAAATACTTTCAAAAAGGCTCTTTTCATAACAAAAGATCTCATTTACCTATTTTCTTTCTTTTAAAGTAGTTTGTTGCCAATGAGCAGGTATTAAATTTTTTCCAACTTTTATCATTCCATTTACATTGTTTTCAGAAAAGTATAATCTGTATCTATAAACCTATATAAATAATAGAGAGATGAAGAAATAGGTCATTTTCTTACCATTAAATGTTTGCTGTAAATGTGTAGGCAGAGCTGAATGGGAAAGTGTTGCTGTATGCTGAGCTCCTGGCTGTAAACCCTTTAGTAAATCTGAGAAGAAAACAGAATTTATCAGTGATCTTTCAACAAAGATTTAAGCTTTCTTAAAATCAAACCTAAAAATAGTTCAATTTATCTAATGTCATCAGAGCCCCAAATTCAAAGGCCTTCTAAAACTAGAATATATATATTTTTTAAAAGTTTACATATGTAAATGTAGATAAGTATATGCAAAGAACCTAACAAATTTGACTTCCATTTATAATTTCACTTAGAAGTGCAGTATAGAAGGTTCATTAGTACATTCTAAAACTGTAAATAAATTCCCAGAGTCCAGTAAGTTGACTTCTAGATGAAATCAACTATGCTTCTTTTTTAAAAAAACTGTATTCTCCCAGAATTCCAACTGGACTGCTCTCAGTCAGAATCAATGACCGAGGCTCCCTGTTCTCTCACACTAGACAGCCAAGGAAAAGAAAGGCCCCACTTACTCTGAGTGAGGCTATGGTGGAAAGCGGCTGAGGTAGATCCTGAGGTGGCTGTCACTCCAGCTGTGTCCGTTCCAAAGCCAAGTAGCTCCAAGGGAAACTGGAAGGGCATGGTCACTGGAACAAGGCCACCCAGCATCCCAAAAGGAGTCACATTTTGATTTGTTACAGACAAAGGTGATGTCATGAGAGTCAGAGGTGAGGCATTAGCCAATAATGATGCTCCTGCTGTGGACTGTGCAGAAACCAGGGGTCAAAATAGATAAGAAATAGAGCAGTCAACCTAAATTGATTTATTGTATTTAATATCCTCATGGATGCAAGACTGTGTCTTGTATCTGTTCTAATAAACTCTGTGAGAGAAAAAATAAGACTGAGGTGAAAATTACATTTTAAAGAGCTACCAATATTGATTTTGAAAATCTGCAAATTACATTTAGAATTTCTTTACAGAAATTCAGCTATTCACCACTTTAGACCCCCTCTTAACTGGTCTACATGATTCACTCTCCTAATCTAACTTCTACCCGTACATTTTCACTTCTTCACTTTTGCTCCAGGCCCACAGACATGAATCAGTATAGAAATAATTCCATGCAATTTCATATGGTTCAATCCTTAACACTACTAAAAAAACTCATCTTCTGGCTTGTCACCATCTCTCCTGGCATAATCTGTGCAACCGCTTGCTCTTGCCAGCCTCTAATCTATAGTCTTGACTTCCACGACAACACCTATAAAGAGATGAAGTCACCTGGATGTTCTTCCTCATCTTTAGCCTTACTTGCCCTTCCCCATGGGTAACTGACAACCACCTGGCCTGTGCCACAAATCCCACTTTGCAGAGCTTTCTTATTTCTGTATCTCCAGTATCACATTTTTTTCCATGTTTCCTCTGCTTCTTATATACAGACCTCAAATTCATATTTACAGTCACAGTTATTCTTGACTCTTCTCCAACTCCTAGTAACAATCTAACTTATTTGTCTTCCTTTTATTATAAAACTTGCTGAACTCACGGCTTTCTTTTCCACATCTAGTTTCTCCTTACCCTCTGAAAGCTGATGTCCACATCACTACTTTATTTAAGACTCCCTAAGGTAAAAGGTAAACTAGTGTTTTCATGCTCCTCCACCTGATCTTTGAGGTGCTATTTGTGAATAAAGGCATTTAGATAGAAATATGCTAACACTGATGAGCTTTCATGGAAAACTACATAAATATACCCCTTAAGCTAATTTATTTCTTTCAGGAATTTTGTATGTTGCAATTAAATGATTTTTCCCATTTTGACTTTTTTTCTTTTCTATATGTAATTATCAACAAATATTTGATACTATCAAGTATGTGCCACTGAGTTTTCTTTTGCAGCCTTATTTTACAAAATATATACAGTTAAAAATACAAAATATATACAGTTAAAAACTTTATAGTTATAAATGCGGTCAAGAAAATGGAATTCTTTAAATTTTTTTAGTCAATAATAAATGTTAGCTATTATCAGTTTTATTTTGGATGTTATTTCTACCCCAAACCCCATTCTAATAAAAAGTGGTGGTATTATTACTTAGTCAAGTATAAGGAAAATATACATAATTTTTCTGTATGTGTATGGAACACTGCATGGATTTGTACACTTAAAGAGTTCATGCCACTGCTAGACAAAACGTGAAGAATGTTCTTTAGAAGTCTTTTACTTTGGTTATTGAACTTGTTCTTTTATTTCCTCCCCTTTTCTCATCTCCTTTGCTATTGTTGACATTTGTGGCCTCTTGTTTCAACTCTAATCCTGTGTATATTCGAGTTTGGTGATACGTCACACTGGTGCATCTGAAACTCACTGACCTGACGTGTCCCGAACTGGAATCTCCTTCTCCAGTCAGCCCCACCTCCTGCTAGCTGGGAAGTCTGCTCCTTTCTAGCCACTGAGGCTGGGAACCTTATTTTTCAGGCCTCATAAAATGAAGGATGAGATAAGCTCATAGTCAACAAACCCATTCTTTCTTTTTTACCAGAACCACTTCTTATTTTAGTACACATCTTCCTCAGTTTGCACTTGGACTTGACAGCTTTTTAAATTTGCCAGTTTTTTCCTCTACTGTGCCAACTACGATACAAAGAGGTGCATTTAAGAAAAAAATTACCAAGTTAGAGTTAATAATGTCTTAAAATGACTAGGACAAAAGCATATAAAAATTAGCAAGTCATTTCTTCATTTTAATCATAATTTTATGACAGAAGGCAATGACAAGGATGATATAGGTTGTGTGCTCAACTGGTGACCCCCAGTGAAAAACACTAAATCTAATAAGGAGAATCTTTTAAATTTTTTTCTGGGGGAGTCTAATTGAAGCACTAAAATGGATGGAAAATATAAATTAAGGCAAGTTCAAAACTAAATAACTTGAGTAATAGCAACAACCAAAAAAAACCATGCCATAACTAACACTTTATACTTTCTAAGAATTTCCATACCCACCTTTGTTTATAAATCTAAACTGAAGCACCAGAAAATTTAAATGTTATGTGTGCAATTATCAACTTCTCTAAGATGGAGCTCTTTCAGAAGCGAGGAGTCTGCTGCTAACATTCATCATGAAGTAGGTGAACAGTTCAGACAATGACCCATAACCAGGGAAAATAAGAAGGGAAACCTTTTTCTTCCTATGGTGGGCATGAAACCTTTTTAAACCATGTTTTCTATTTTGGTATTTTTGTTCTATTTTGTATCTGTCCCCTATTCTCTATAGTACCTACAGTGATCTTTCAAAACATAAATTAGACCACACCACTCCTTTGATTAAGACTACTCTCCAATAGCATTCCTGCTACATACAGAATAAAATCCAAAAGTATTACTGTGGTGCACCCTGACAAAGTTCTCCATGATACAGTGAGGTCTCTTTCCCCCAACAGTCTAGGCCTTCAACCCAGGCTCTTTTCCCCCTTAATGTCTTCACACTGCAATTCCTTATCACCTGGACTTTACAAGACTATCTCCTGTTCATTTGATCCTTAGTTTAAATCTACCTCCTCAAAGAGGCTACTTCATTCTTTTTTCTGTTAGCACCTCTTTATTGGTGCTTTATTATTTTTTTCCACAGTACTTGTTATGTTTTTTAAAAAACTGTGTTTAACTCATCTTTCTACCTAAAATATATGCTCCATGAGAAAGGAACAGTGTTCCTCAATACCTACAAGAGTGCCTGGCACATAGTACATACTCAATCAACATTTACTGAATGAATAAGTGGGTTTTGGAATTATAAAGTAGCAATGACAGGATTCACAGAAAATCTGTATATTGAAGAGCAAGAAAGAACAGAAAATCTCTGAGTGGAACACTGTTAAACAGAAAGTAGGCAGAGGTAGCAACTTGAACCCAGAAAGATTTTAACTTATGTCCTTTGTTAAAGGGCCTGTCATTTTCACTGCAAATGAGTAGATAGCTTCAGATGCCTTTCAGACAGGAGGTGAATACTTCACAGGAAGTCTGCTTTCAGAGTAAAGTGCTAGGACAGATCTGGAGGCTATAAGGTAGCTGATGAGATTTCAATGGATGCTATGTCAATAAGAAAACCACCTTAGGTTCACAAAGGGTAGAAATGACCTTTCTTCAGTCAAAGCAGTAAGAGAAAAAAAATTAGATCAGATATGAAGGCAGGGACATTGGATTCTCCACATTATAAAGCCATTTGGGAAACAAAGAAAACAAGGAGGGAGTAGTTACTTGTCAGAAACACAAATTCTGGCATACAGATTTCTTGTTGGCAAACCAATTCTTTGTTAGACAGTATCTGGGTTCTTTGGAAATAAATGATCAAACACAGGAAGTTCTTTGGAGAAAATATAGAATGGATAGATTCTGCAGATGACAAAGGATGAAGAAGGCTTTAAACTTATACTCAAAGAAAAAGAAACAAGTAAAAAGATTTTTCTTTTTTAGCTCTAGGAACCACCCCCCAAAATTTATAAAGCAAGCAAATAAAACCACAATTATGATATTTAGCTCGAGAGAGACAATATTTACATAGTGAAGATTTTTGTGTGTGTGTGTAGTGCTGTTTGATTGAACCCACCAGGACCTTGTGCATGCGAGGCAAGTACTCTACCAACTGAGTTATCTCCCCAGCCCACATAGTCAAGAATTTAACCAAAAATTGTAATTATTCTTTGAGAAGAATAAGGCAGGTACGTATAAGAGAACTATGAGTCTCATTTTTCATAATAAAAAGATAAAAGATACTATAGTACTAAAATTGAGTTTTCTAATTACTACTGTTATTTAGAAATAAATATGTAGAAGAAAAATATTTAAAAGTGATGTTAAAAAGAAGGCTGTGGAGTAGGCAAATGTTATTTTTGAGAGAATTCTACTGATTCATTTGATCAAATTAAAAGTTAATTTTTAAAAAAAAGTGTCAACTTTTTAGCAAAGATAACACAAAAGCAATGAGGAATAATTCCCAGTCTTTACCTATAATTAAAAATTTAATTTGCAATCTCTAATAACAATTTTGTTGTCATTATTTCTTTTCCTTTCTTTTTCTTTTTCGCAATGCTGGGGATCATACCAAGGACCTTGCAGGATAGCCAACTAAACAACCCCTGAGCTACATACATACAAACCTCTTCTTTTTTGAGACAGGATCTCACAATGTTACTCATGCTGACCTTGAACTCCTGGACTCAAGTGATCCTTCTGCCTCAGGCTCCTAAGTAGCTGGAACTATAGGATCCTGCCACCTCCTGCTCAGCTTTAATTTCTTATTTTTGACTTAATTAAAATTATACAGATAAAACATCAGTTAATACTTCAATTACTGAAGTACCATTCAACTGAATTTGTTCTACATTAGAATTTTGGAAGTCATTGCTAAACCTACTTAAAGGACAGCATGATAACTTGGGTATTAAATAAGTATTGAACATAAACCCTCATATAGCAACGAACAGTAGGGTACCTCTACAAATAGCAAAGAGAAATCCTTACGTTACACATTCCTAGTCCACATATATAGGAGGCAGAACAAAGTTTTCAGAGTAATTTCTTAGATGATACAATTTCATAAAACAATAAAAGTAATGTTTTCAAAGAATATTTTAAAAACCTAAGACCTTGCACATCATGGTACATTTTTTAAAAAGCTGGTTATGAAACAGAATATTATGTCAAACAAACTTTCTTGAAGAGTAAAAATGATATTGAATGCAGCAATGAAATGTATGAATAATAAAGACTTCTCAAAAAGCCTAGGATAAATGAAACCAATATTCTTGGACTGAAAAAAAAAATCTGCCAGGTCTGAAATTAAGAGGTGTTACTATTTTAGGTGCAAAATTAATGAAAACTAGGCAAACCTGGCCATAGTCTAACAACACTTGGATTTCAAGGAAAAAAGAGAAAAATTTTACTAGCATTTAAGCAGAGAAAACAAATTACTCATAAAAGGGAATTTAAAAATCAATATGGCTTTAAACTTTTCAATAATCTTAACACTAACCAAGGGTCAGGGGAGCAATATTTAAAATTTTGGAATGAAACAGTTAATGACCCAAGAAGTACATATGCACTAAAGTGTGACAGCATAGAAAAATGAATGTGTATGCAAAAGCTACAGTAAAGGGCCATCTGTGCTACCCTTCACACAGATTCCTACGTAAGGCACTCCAGCTAATTTGAGAGGCGAGTTTAAGTTAAAACTCATGACCAGGGAAAATGTGGCATAAAAGAACTATTGACACCATTTGACAGAAGAGAATTACATATAAATTACTATAAAAGTAATGTAAAAATTTAAAACCCGAGAAGATAAATGCTTAAAAAAAATAAAAAATAATACAAACGAATAAATTTGACTAAAAAATTTTAGGAGAAAAAGGAAGAGACAAGTGAATGTATGTTAAATTAATAAGCTACTACTTTTTAACTTTTTAAATAGAGTTCCAAATATGCACTTCAGTTGTATTTGTCAACAAATGTTAAGGTAAACATGATACTTTGCTAGAAAAAAAATCCACATCCTCCCAGAAAAACCTTATTCACATATGTGTCCATCACTGTGCTGTCAACACCAGGAATATTCCATGGCCATGCTGTAATCAGCCTATAATGAACAGTGTATTTATATTATAGTAAACTCATTAAAGTGACTAATTTTATCAGATGAACATCCAGAACATACATACCTGCACACTGGCTGTTACCACTGAAGACCCTGAGGCTGAAGATGGTCTATGTGGAGTAGACAACGGTTTAGTAGCACCCTGTGTTCCACTTCCTGTTCCCCCAGATAGACTAGTTCTATTAGTTCCGCTTGAGTTAAGGTTGCTACCTCTGCTGGCAGGTACATTCATTGCAATTCCACTCAAGCTGTTCTTCCCAACAGTTCCAGTGGATGATGAGTTTGTTAGTTTTGAAGGGGCCTGAAGATTTTTTGTAGATGGAAGGCCTGAAGTGCGATTAGAGGGCAATAAATTCAAGGTGGGAGACTGCCTGCTGATGTTGACTCCACTGGGCTGTTTATGAACTGGGTTGTTACTGGTGGAGTGGCAACTCTGGGCTACTAGTGCACTTGGACTGGAAGAACTTGGGGATACAGTAGGCTTGGGAGTGGGGTTGGACTTAGAAATAAGTTTAGTCGATACTGAAGGCTTAGCTGAAAGAGAGGGCTTGGGTGAAGCAGAAGGCTTGGGAGAGGGCAAGGGTTTGGGAGATGTAGCAGGTTTCGGAGATGCGGCAAGTTTTGGGGATGCAGCCATTGAAAAAGGAGATTTGAAACCCTGCGTGGAAATCTGTGACACCATAGCCTTGGCTAAATAGTTACTAGAGGTAGTGGTGCTCGGTGCTGTCCTAGAAACCAGGGGGTGGGACCCCTGAGAACCATTTCCAGGCGAGGGCGTAGATAAGGGAAGGCGGTATATAAGTGGCTTATCTGAAGTCTTAATGAGTGGGGATGAACAGGTAAGCTGGGGATTATTACTTAATTTCACCACTGGGTTGGTATGTGATTTACTAATGGTTGCTTGTAATGGAGACACATAGTTCTGTTGGACAGCTGAATGCTGGTGCACCTTTGTTACTTGTGTTAACGAAGAAGCTTCTTGGGCCTCAGATGTTCCCAGAGCATGAGAGGAGGCAGCAACTTGGGCTTGGGAAGAGGAGACATGAGTCTGCGAAGAGGAAGAAGCATGAATCTGGCTTGACCTTTGTAGTCCTTGCTGAAGTAGCCTGGCTGGCAAAGGTTCTAAGGAAACTTTAGGGTTCTGAATTGAAGAACCAGCAATAAGGCCTGAAGAGATGCCAGTATGAGCTAAATCCTGGGGTTTCTTTGGTACTGGCCCAGTGTGGCCAGCAATAAGACTCGATGAATGTGCAGTCTGAGTAGAATCTAGTTTTTTGGGAGTAGTCAGTGGCAGCTTACTCATGATACTTGCTAATTTTTCTTCTCTCAGTCCTGGACGAGGTTTTGTAGTTGGCATGTTTATTCTTGGACCAACTGTAGGGCCCTTATTCCCATTGTTGATGACAGCTAAAGCTTCAGAAACAAGATCTAGTGAAGGTGAGTGGTAAGAAAGGTCTTCGTCTAGGGAGTCGTCGAGGCAGATGGTTTCCTGGGCTGGTGTTGAGCTGGAGCTGGCTGAGGCAACAACAGAAGTGCTGGAGCTTGTGGAAGGACCACTGACTGAAGCCACCAAGGATGCAGGAGCTTTCTGGTCCTTTTTTGGGCTACACTCCTAACATAAGCAGCATTATATTGGAAAAAATACAAATAGTTTTTTAAAAATTAGAAAGTCAGTTTTTAAAGGACCAAGAAACTATCATGATGACTAAAAATAGTTTTTCTATTGGAAAATCTTGACAGACTGCCAAAATAAAAATAATTTTCAAGAAAACAGAGCTCCTGACTGAGCTGTCCTCACTAGACAAAGTATCTAATACACTGCACTGCCATACCCTTGACAGCCATTCTAAGACAACAGCTAAAAATGAGGTCAAAAGACTAATACATAGCAGTGACTGAGGAGCTCAATTTCTATAGCCCTTCTGCATCAGATCTTCAAATCCTACTCCAAATCCATCTGCTTAGAGATTTTTCTCTTTTTATTCTCCAGGAGAAGACTGTGTCTTTGTATTAAGACGTGACCCTTCTTTCTTTCTCTCCCTCTCTCTCTCTCTTTTTTTTGTGGTGTTGGGGATTGAATTCAGGGCCTTGTGCATGTGAGGCAAGCACCCTACCAACTAAGCTATATCCCCAGTCCAAGACTATTCTTCTTGTCTAGTAAGGTTTGCAAGAATGCTGATCCTCTGACTCTATACCCTTTGCCACAGCTATTCACAGACAGTACATAAGGAAAATGGCACATCAAATTGACAAAAAAGATGAATTTTTTGAGCATATTAAAATCATGTTTTCTAGTCATCTGGTACAAGTGATTACACGTTGTAATTTTTTCAACATATATTTACTGGGTGTCCATTATGAGCAATGACCTATGCTAAGAAAATAAGGGTATATGGATGGGGCTGGGGTTGTGGCTCAATGGTAGAGCGCTTGCCTAGCATGTGTGAGGCACTGGGTTTAATTCTCAGCACCACATAAAAATAAAGAAAGAAAGTAAGAAAAGAAGGTACATTAGAAGTTATAACTCTGAATGCCCAAGAGGATACTAATTTCTCAAAAAATTAACTTTCTTAATAATAAGACTAAATTATTACATAAGTCATTTCAAAGTCTCTTCAGTTTCTTAAAAACAAACAAACCCAAACTCCAACCCAGAGTATATAACAAGTATTAGTGATTAATACAACCATAGCACTTACCTTAAGCATAGTGGGGAAAGAATGGAGAGGAAGGGTCTTTCCTATCACTTCCTAAGGTATTACAGTAAGTAAGCTGTTAAGAATGCTGTTATACTCGAATTTCCTTAGCATTTTTTTTCCCTAAACTTTTATTCTAAGACCCACAACTAAAAACCTTACTGCTTATCAGAAGTGCTGCACAAGATCACAAGTATCTGCTGAGGTGAATGGGCCAAGTACATAAGATAGTCAACTAATTAAGTGATTAGTAAAAATTCCATCATTTTAGCTGCTATTGCTTCTTTTCCCCCTTATGGTGCTGGGGACTGAATCTAGAGCCTCACAAATGCTAGCTCTATCATTGAGCTATCTTCCCAGTTCTAAATTCCCTCATTATAAAGAATATAGAATTGAGGTGGGGGAATGTATCAGAATAAGATTTAATGTGTTACCAGTAAAAATTTACTGTTTTAAATAATTCTTCAAAATTTAATAGTTTTATAAAAACATCAAACCTCATTAACTAACAGAATACTGTGTAGACTTATATTGGCAAGAGAAAAGTGTTCAGGATGCCCGAGTCAAAACATACGTTATTCCACTTTGAATAAATGCAAGGGTTGTTATGGTGGATGGAAAGAAATAAGGAAGAAAGATCCATAAGAAAGAGAAGGCAGATGTGGACCAGAAAGTTTTTTGCTTTTGTTTTCCCCTCTTAGAAGAAATTTCTGGTACACTTTTTCTCCTGCAAGTATTTCCTTAAATTATCTTCATAACTAAAAAAGGTATGAAGGGGATGGGGTGTAGCTCAGAGGTAAAGTGCTCGCCTGGCATATGTGAGGACCTGGTGCCTTCCCCAATGCTGCAGGGAAAAAGAAATCCCTTTTTCTTTAGGGGTGCAGTAGGAAAAATCTAAACTAGCAATAGCCTTTTCACTTTGGGAAAATGAAAAAAATAATTTCATCATAGAGAAAGCAAAACCAATTAGCCCTCCCTCCAATAATTTCCTCATATTATTCTAACACATCTTTATTAGAAATCTGATCAGTTTCTTACCCTATTATTTCATAATAATATTTCAATTGATGTATCAAAATTTAAACAAACCTTTATATAGGGCATTAAAAGATTAGTATTCTAATAAAAACAAAGGTATGTGTCAAAACAATAAGAAATTAGGTTAAAAATTATTAAACCTTATTAAGCCCCAAAAAGAAATTTTAAAAAAAATATTTATTTTTCAGCTATAGGTGGACACAACATCTCTATTTTATTTTTATGTGGTTCTGAGGATCGAACTCAGTGCCCCACGCATTGTAGGTGAGTGCTCTACCTCTGAGCCATAACCCCAGCCCTCCTCATAAGAAATTAAAAGAAAGAGAAGATCAACATTATTAAGGCCACAGGCTGACCTTCTGTCTGGCCATCACCTTACAAATAAACTCATCTATTCAGAGATAAAGTATATAGAGAAAACCCAGGGTATTTAAATTTCAAATGGCTGTATTTTGGGGGGGTGGGGTGGGGCCAATACTGGGGATTGAAGGCAAGAATACTCGACCATATCCCCATATCCCCAGCCCTATTTTGTATTTTGAGACAAAGTCTTACTGAGTTGCTTAGCACTCATTTTTTAAAAAATATTTTTAATTGTAAATGGATATAATACCTTTATTTTGTTTATTTATGGTTTTTTGTGTGGCGCTGGGGATTGAACCCAGGGCCTCACACATGCTAGGCAAGTGCTCTACCACTGAGCCCAACCCCCTAGCGCTTCACTTTTGCTGAGGCTCCTTTGAACTCCTGATCCTCCTGCCTTAGCCTCCCAAGATTTTTTTGGTGGTGTTGGGGACGGCACCAGGGCCTCTCCAAAGCCCAGCTCATGCTCTCTGGTGAAGTGCCACCTCCGCTCATGTTTGACATAATTTATAAGAAGTAAGCCTCTGAGGGCCTAGGATGAAAGCACATTATACCAGAGAGAATTTTTGCTTTTGCCAGTTGTCCTGGGTTATTACTAACCATATAATTTTAGCTATTCTGTCAGCTTAGAGTTTTCCCAGATTATGCAGGTCATATAAAACAAACTCCTAAACCAGGAAAAATTATAAAGACTCCCCCTACCCCCATTCTTGAATCCAAGCTAAGATAGAAAATGTTTCTAATTTCTGTTAATTGTAAATTTTTCTTCTGATTTTTTTTTTCTTTTTTTTTGAAAAAAAACCTAAAGATGCTATCTTGAGGGCCCAGCTTTAGGCAGGACTCATTCTAACTTCTGATCTGTACAAGCCTGAGAAAACCCCATCTGCTATATTCTGAGAAGAAACATAGAAAGAAACCATAGGTGATAGGTAGAAGTTCAGAAGGCAACCAAGATCTCAGGGATAGATGATCACCGAAGCAGCTTCTTATCTGTAGGTTTTGTTGCTGTTGTTGTTGGTTTGTTTTTGTTTTTTGGTACTGGAAATTAACCCCTGAGGCTTAATCACTGAGCTATACTCCCAGCCTGTTTTTTTTTTTTTTTAATAAGGTCTTGCTAAAATGCTGAGACTAGCCTCAAATTTACAATCCTACTGCTTTAGTCTCCTGAGTTGCTGGGATTATAGACATATGCCACTATGCCCAGCTGCTCCTCCTTTCCTTTTGACTTCGGAATTTCTCTTATATATTTGCAACCTCATCTTTTTTATTTATTTTTTTTTTTGTGGGAATCATTGGGCACTCTATCACTGAGCCGCAATCCCAGCTCTTTTTATTTTTTATTTTGAAACAGAGTCTCAGTAAGTTGCTTTGGCTGTTCTAAAATGTGCGATCCTCCTACTTAGTCTTCCAAGTTGACTGGATGACAGACATGGGCTACCACATCCAAATTGAAAGATATTTAAAAGCAGTATTTTATTCAGTATTTCTAAGAATTGTTAAGCTTTACGATTTAATTAGTATACGTAAATTCCTACTACTACATGGTCATCTGTTTTCCCAAATACAAAGGTTATAAGATTTTTACAAAGTTGAAAATAACCAGGCTGGGATTGGAGCTCAGTGGTAGAGTGCTTACTTAGCCCATGTGAGGTTCCTTAGCACCACAAATAAATGACTAAAATAAAGGTATTGTGTCTATCTACAAAAAGAAAAAGAAAAAGAAAAAAAAAGAAAAGAAACAACTAAAGGCTATTTCATTGATGATCTTCATTAAACACCATACATATTTTATATCTTAAAAATGTATTTCAACATTCAGTAATTATGACTATGATACTCACCTTTACTTTGGGTTTGGGTGCAGGAATCACCTTTTTCTTTGCCCTAAAAGATTAAAACAGAGGCCTTTCAGTAGTAGTTGTATCACTCACTAGGAAAGGAACACATATGAATCTTATAATTAAGCAAATTTCTCCCAATATTTGGAAAGCTCTTTGGATGAAGTAAAAAAAAAATATATAAATACTTGGTCTATAAGAATATTCAGTAACACTTTTCCCAATTCAGATTAAACACAAGAAAATGCCAATTAGTAAAATATGAAATATAGATGATAAAGTTAAAGAAACAAATATAAATATATAAAATATAAGTTAAAACAGTTTAACAAAGCTGCCTAGGAAACTTACTTCAAAGAACTACTAAGAATTTACAGTTATTTGTAGGAAAACAGCTTCAAGAAACTTCACACTAAAATTGGACCATGATAAGGAACTGTAAATTGCATTTTACTTAAAAAAAAAAAAAACTTACATCTTTCTATAAAGTTATTTTTTTAAATGTAAACATTCAAATAAAAAATGTAAAAACAACAAAAAAGAGCAGGATAAATACTATGGAACTTGGGAACCTTTGGAACTGCGTGAAAAGTTTAAAAATTAAAACAATCTTATGGGTTCCACAGAAGAAAGAACTCAAATGTTTTTGAATAATTAAATGAGTGACAAACTTAAATACTTCATCCCATCTGAGTGTTTTTATTTCATTACGGTAAAATGTCATCAATCAGACTAACACACATCTTGATTTAAACTGTGAATCTTTAGTTTCATAAAGGCAATGGTAATTTTCAAAGTTTTTTTGGTGAAGGCCATGAGAGCAAAAGTCTTCCTGCTTTCTTGTACAAAAATCAAACAAAACCCAAAACTAGCAATGATAATGAAGCTATTTTAACCTAGTGAAGGGAAATGGTGAGCACAGTGCTGTGTGCTTGCAGTTCTAGCTACTCAGAAGGCTGAGGCAGGAGAATTATTTGAGCTCAGGAGTTCCAGGACAGCCTGGAACTCAACTCAAAACAAATACTAAAACAAAAACTGAGGGAGAGAACCTACATAAACACCTTTAGAATTAAAACATGAGTCAAATAGTTTGTATTTGTTTTTTTGTTTAGGGTTGTTCCTTTTTTTTTTTTTTTTGGTTCTTTTTAGTTACACATGACAGTCGAATCTATTTTGATATATTTATACAAGCATGGAGTATATCTTATTCTAATTGGGAGTCCAGTCTTGTGGATGTACACGACAGAGAGATTCACTGTGATGTAATTATATATGTACATAAGTTATGTCAGATTCATTCCAAAGCCTTTCTTATTCCTATTCCCATTTGTCTAATCAACTTCTATCCTTTCCCTCCCCAACCACCTTTGTGTGTGTTAAGATCCACATATTTCTTTTTTGGGGGATTTACAAATTTCATTTAGCATGATAGTCTCCAGATCTATCAATTTACATCTTCCTTATGGTTGAATAATATTCCACTGATATGCCACAATTTCTTTATGGATTCATCTGTTAGTGGGCATCTACATTGCTTTCATAGCTTAGCTATTATGAATTGTGTTCCTAGAAACATTGACGTGGCTGTGTCACTGTAGTGTATGCTGATTTTAAATCCTTTGGATATATGCCAAGGAGTGAGATAACTGGATCAAATGGTGGTTCCATTTCTAAGCTTTTTAAATATATATTTTTAGTTATAGGTGGACCACAATACTTTTTATTATTTTTTATATCTTTATTTTATTTTTATGTGGTGCTGAGGATTGAACCCAGTGGCTCACACATGCTAGGTAAGCGTTCTACCTCTGAGCCACAACTCCATCGTGACCACAATATTTTATTTTTATGTGGTGCTGAGGATTGAACCCAGTCCCTCATGCATGGTGGGCAAGCGTTCTACCTCTGAGCCACAATTCCAGCCCCCATCTCTAAGTTTTTTGAGGAATCTCCATACTGTTTTACAGAATGCTTGCATAAATTTGCACTCCCACCAATGTATCAGTATTCTCTCTTCTCCACATCCTCACCAACATTTATTGTCACTTGTATTTTTTTTTTAAGATTTTTTTTAACATTTATTTTTTTAATTATAGGTGGACACAATAACTTTATTGTATTTTATGTGGTGCTGAGGATCAAACCCAGTGTCAGGCAAGCGCTCCGCCTCTGAGTCCTAGCCCCAACCCTGTCACTTGTATTCTTGATAACTGTCATTCCGGTTGGTGTGAGCTGAAATATCAGTGTAGTTTTAATTTGAATTTCTCTGATTGCTGGAGATATTGAACATTTTTTTCATATACTTGTGGACTGTATTTTTTTGAGAAGTATCTGTTTAATTCCTTTGTCCATTTATTGATTGGGTTATTTGGAGTTTTTTTGGTGCTAAGCTTTTTTAGTTCTTTGTGTATCTTGGAAATTAATATCTTATTGGAGGTGTGTGTGGCAAAGATTTTCTCCCATTCTCTAGGTTCTTTTTTCATGCTCTTGTTTCCTTTGCTGTGAAACAGCTTTTTAGTTTGATACCATCCCATTTATTGATTTAAAAATTTTTTTCTTATTTTAGTTGTACATGACACTAGACTCTATTTTGATACATTCCATTTTTGATTGTACATCTTGCGCTTCAGGAGTCTTACTGAGGAAGTTGGTTCCTAAGCTGACATGATGGAATGTTCGCCCTACATTTTTTTCTAGTATGTGCAGAGTTTCTGGTCTAATTCCTAAGTCTTTAATATACTTTGAATTTTGTGCAGGGTGAGAGATAGGGGTTAAATTTCATTCTACTACACATAGATTTCCAGTTTTGCAAGCACTATTTGTTGAAGGGGCTATCTTTTTTCCAATGTATGTTCTTGGTGCCTTTGTCTAGTATGAGATAGCTGTATTTATTTGGGTTTCTTCTATTCTAGATCATTGGTTTTCATGTCTATTTTGATGACAAAACCATGCCTGTTTTTACCAATACCAGCTCTGTAGTATAATTTAAGGTCTGGTATTGTGACACCTCCTGTTTTGCTTTTCTCACTAAGGATTGCTATGGCTATTCTGAGCCTCTTATTTTTCCAAATAAATTTCATGACCACTTTTTCTACTTTTAAAAATTCTTTTTTGTAGCTGTAGATGGACAGAATTCCTTTATTTTATTTTCTTATTTTTATTTGGTGCTAAGGATTGAACCTAGTGCCTCACACATGCTAGGTAAGTGTTCTGTCACTGAGCTATTGCCCCAGCCCTGCTTTTTCTATTTTTATGAAGAACATCATTGGAATTTTATTGGGAATTGCATTAAATTTGAATAGTGCCTTTGGTAGTATGGTCATTTTTTCAATATTAATTCTGCCTGTCCAAGAACATAGGAGACCTTTCTATCTTCTAAGGTTTTCTTCTATTTATTTCTTTAGTGTTCTGTATTTTCATTGTAGAAGTCTTTTACCTCTTTTGTCAGATTGGTTCCCAAGTATTTTATTTTTTTTTGAGGCTATTGTGAATGGGATAGTTTTCCTAACTTCTCTTTCAGCCGATTCATTATTGGTATATAAGAACACAACTGATTTATCAGTGTTAATTTTGTATCCTGCTACATTGCTGAATTTGTACCTGAATCGTAATGCATGTGGTTTTAGAACTATAGAGAAACTAAAGGCCATATATATTATCGACACAAATTTATCTCTGTGTTTATTTACTTATAGATTTAAGTTCTTGCAACAAAGTAAACTGCAATGTACCCCAAAAAACAGAAGCAAGGGGAAAGCTGTGTGATGCATGCTTATCGTTAATCCCAAATACATGGTAGGCTGAGATGGGAGGGTCACCTGAACCCAGGAGTTCAAGACCAGTCTGGGAACAAAGCTAGAACTCATAACATAAACACAAACAAATAACAACAACAAAACACCCCAAGAATAATAAGAACTTAAAACTACAACAACTCAATATAGATCCCTGATGGTATAAAAGTGTTCTTCCTAAAAACTTTCATCTGTTATAACAATATAAAGGAAAGAATTTTATAATGTTGTTCAAACAATGTCAATCAGACATCTTAGCAGAATATTGAATAGCGTGCTCAATAATTCTTAATAACTTGCTAATTTTAAATTTTAGTAACTCTTTAATAAAGACTACACTTGCAGGCTACAGAAAAGTAGCCTTAATTTGTAGGTACAAAAAATTATGGAGTCGGCCAATATTCATCCGAACAGCAACAATATACAATGTGCCCTTTTATTGAATGCAAGGAGGATAAGAGATCTTTACTAATCCTTTCACTAGGGTGGGGTAGGGCACTTGCCTAGCATGTGCAAGGCCCTGGGTTTGAACCTCCGGCATATGTGTGCTCATACACATCATTTCATTAAGGAAACATCCAGTTTTGAACAGAAAGAAGAACACTAAGAGTAGGTTAATTTTGTAGAAAAACACTCTTCAGGGTAAAGCAGGGTACTTTTGTATATGGAACTGTCCTGGTAAGCTAGGGGCAGAAGGCCATAGGCTATATAGATGATTAATAAGAGGTAGGAAAAAAAGAACAATAAGACGACAAGATAGAATCCCAGAAACAAAGGGAAACCCTTGAGCTTGTATATTTTCATCATTTTCTATATAAGAATCCCAGGCAGTCTGTGTCACATTCTAGATTCAGGAGGTTTTGAAGAACAGCCTGAGAACTATTTTAATAGACTCTGAGGTCTAAACAGGAAACAGACCAATGATTTATTTTTAAGAAGATGGTGATAAATGGAAATTGGTTAAATAAATTGTATTTCAACTAGCATTTAATAAATGATAGTCTCCTTACTAAAGCTACAAAAATAAAGATAAATCAAGAAATCTGGAGTCTGCATTTACTCACGGAGCAGAAGTAAGATGATTATGTACACTCCGGCTTTCCTTAAAAAGCATTCTGGAAAAATTAAAAGGATACAATTATTATTTTTTCATAGCAGATAATAACATAATTGCTTTATTTTTTCTACAAAATCATTTGACTTACAATAGGTTATCATTTGCATGTTTACCAAATAAAGATACTGGTATTAGTGTGCTCAATTATGAAGTTTTATCACCTCTACTTGTTTAATATTTTTAATAAATGGAGCAATTTGAAATGGTGGGTAGGTAAGGTAGCTTATGAAGTTTCATACTCTTAAAACTCTTTAGACTTTATATAGGGATATTCTTAAGTTTCTCAAGACACTTCACTATTTTCCAAGACCCAACGGTTGCCTATCTTTTCCTTTGCTCTAATTCCTGTATTTGATAGTTCCCCTCCTGAAGTTTATAATAACCATTGTTCTCCCCCCTTTTCTTCCACTAGCAAATTCTGCTACAAAAAAAACATGATAATTTAAAAAATCACCTTGATATCCATATCTTTATATGCCCACAGGACTGTTTTGGATTTTAAGGGCTTGAAAATTTCAAAGGAGAGGCTATCTGAGATATACTATATAGAGGTTGAACACATTAAGTTCTTAGCAAAACCAATGTCAATAATAACTTTGTTAATAACAAAGTAAGAGAGTAAATCAGAATTCAGGAGGTCAATCTCTTACCTCGCCTGCATCCAGCCCTTAGGCCACAAGGGCTTCACTTCTGTTTCCATGAAGGATTTAAGATAATCCTCAGCAGACTGGCTTTTATTTGGCTCCAACTCATAGCATCCCAATTTGATCTCGACAAGGTTACATAATAAAGTTCTAAATAGATAAAAATATTATTACATATAAATCTGACTATGAAACAATAGAAAATTTTAAGTTTGAAACAGAATTATCTTTATCGAAAGAGCTCCTTTGCCAGGCATGGTGGTGCACAGGTTTAATTCTAGCAGCTTGAGAGGCTGAGGCAGGAAGATTGCAAGTTCAAAGCCAACCTCAGTAACTCAGTGAGGCCTTAAACAACTTAGTGAGACCCTGTCTCTAAGTAAAATATAAAAAAATGGCTGGGGATGTGGCTCAGTGGTTGAGCACTTTTGGGTTCAATCCCTGGTACAAAAAAGAGAGAGAAAGAACTCCTTTAGGCTCACTTGACATAGGTTTGTTTGTTTTTAAACAAGTATCACTCATAAATACAAAAAATGGAAAAGAAAGCAAAATAAATTAACTGATTTGTTCAGGTATTCCTAAACCTTCTTCCTATTCACAGTCCAATATAAGTCACTTGATGTCCACATCCTATCATTCTCTGTTCCTTCCAAGTGAGTTATGATACAGTCATTCTTGAGTTCTCCACTACTATTTCTGGAGTATTCTTCTAAGGTACTAACAACAGACTTTTTTTTTTTTTAAAGCACACAGTTGTAACAAGAATATTATCTGAAGAATTCAGATAATAACAAGAAGATGTTTTTTAAAATTTGTGATTCATTGCTCTAGTCTAACCCCAAAATGAAACAATTTCCTTTGACAGGTACCAAAGATAGGTAGAAAAGTTGTCTCTGTGGGGTATAGAAATACTGGCAAGAAAGACGGTTGATTTATGTAAGTATATTGAGTACTTCACCTTCTGAATCCAATGTAACTCATTCCATTCTTAGTTTATGTTATAAAAAGTATTACATAAAAATGAAAGTGTGGCTGGGGGTGTGGCTCAGAGGTAGAATGCCCGCCTACCATGCGTGAGGCACTGGGTTCGATCCTCAGCACCACATAAAAAATAAAATGAAGATATTGTGTCCACCTATAGCTAAAAAATAAATATTTAAAAAAAAAAAAAAGAGGGCTGGGGATGTGGCTCAAGCGGTAGCGCGCTCGCCTGGCATGCGTGCGGCCCGGGTTCGATCCTCAGCACCACATAAAAAATAAAATGAAGATATTGTGTCCACCTATAACTAAAAAATAAATATTAAAAAAAAAAAAAGAAAATGAAAGTGATAACAATATAAGGAGGGCTGGGGATGTGGCTCAAGCGGTAGTGTGCTCGCCTGGCATGCGTGCGGCCCGGGTTCGATCCTTAGCACCACATACAAACAAAGATGTCGTTTCTGCTGAAAACTAAAAAAAATAAAATATTAAAATTCTCTCTCTCTCTCTCCTCTCTATCTTTAAACAAAACAAAACAAAACAAAACAATATAAGGATATTAGGGCCAGAGTAATGGTCTCCTGAATATATTTTTTTCTACATACTACCCTTTGATTGCTTTCAATCTAGTCTTTCATTTACTACATTTTTCTCATGGTGTTGGGGATTCAACTCAGGGTCTAACATATGCTAGACAAGTGCTCCACCCCTAAGTTACAGTCCCTTTCCCTATTATAGATTCCTTTTATGAGCAACCTTACTTCTCCACTGTATATTTGGTTAAGAGCAAAGACTGGCTAAATTCTACCTAATTGTGTCATCCCAGTGGAATTTCTTTCTTGGTCCTATGACACGCTTCCCTGGTTTCTCATCATCATCTTCCTCAGATCCATTCTTTTCTCGTTCTTCATCTGTTTGCAACCTAAAAATTGAAAAACCTTTTAAGAAGCAAAATTTTAACCCTACAATATTTCCCATAAACACTTCCAGAATTGCTTAATTGAACTTTTACTCAAATAACAGACTAAATAGGCAATCTACCTTTTTACATAATACTTTGAGTAAGCTATAAAGTGCTTGGCAAATGAAAGTATCCAAACTATAATATAAAGGCATACTTATCTTTTAGGTCAGAAAATATTTGTGTCCAGCACCAGCTGGTCGAATTAGTCAGTATATGAAATGTCTGAACAGTTTTAGCTCTTGATTTTTTTAAAATATTTTTTTAATTGTAGTTGGACACAATACCTTTATTTTATTTATTTTCATGTGATGCTGAGGATTGAACCCAGGGCCTTGCACATGCTAGGCAAGCACTCTAGTGCTGAGCCATAACCCCAGCCCTTAGCTCTTGATTTGATCACAAACATAAAGTGAATCAACAAAGTCTTTTGCCTTTGACACCAAAGCAGTTGAGGTAGCAACATATCATTTAGAAAATATTCAATTTATCATTCAGTGGTGTATGTGGATTTGTACTTGATGATGAAGTCCTGTCAAGACCAACCCCTAACAGCTAAAAGTGTTTCTCAAATGGGAAAGCCTGTCGAAACAGAAGGGGTACATACTTGGCACACTTGGCTTGACTACGAGCCTGGCAATCCTCCTGGTATTTAAATAGCTGTTCAGGCATAACATTGCTAACAGCCAGTTTCAGTTTTTGCAGAGGTTCTCTTAAACGATCATCCTGAGAAAAAAACATACTGAATATGTTTTTCAAATACCTTAACAAAATTTATTCAATGAACAGATTCTTAAAAGGTGAAATTTATGTTTCAAGTATTGATTACAGATTTGAAATGTTAGCATATCTAAATATGGACATTTCTTCAATAGCACTGGCTTTTATTAATTAACACTGGATATAAAATTAGAATGAAAAATTTCCCAGTTTGCCAAGGAGAGTCTGAGCTTTTACTTGTTGCCCTTGCAAAACTATTAGTAGTATTTCTTTACATTCTTAAAAAGCCCCATGTTGTTGGGTGTGGTGGTACAACACCTATAATCCCAGTGATTCAGGAGGCTAAGGCAGAGGATTATGAGGTTCAAAGCCAGCCTCAGCAACTCAGCAAGACCCTGTCTCTAAATGTAATACAAAATGTCCCTGGGTTCAATCCCTGGTACAAAAAAAATATATATATATATGTTTTAAATTATATATACTTTATAATACAAATGATGAAATCTACATTGTGCAGATTACTAGATAGTCCCAATTATAATGGGAAAGCACTCCAAAAAGAAGACAGTTCTCTGGAATACTGGAATATATGATCCACAGGATTTTTTTTTTTTTTAGTTGTAGATAGACAAAATATATTTATTTATTTTTATGTGGTGCTAAGGATTGAACCCAGTGCCTCACACGTGCGAGGCAGGTGCTCTACCACTGAGCTACAGCCCCAGCCCTATCTGCATGATCTTGTTTGAGTAGTTACCAACAGGATGTTGGCATCCTGTTCTCTTGGTTATTGTTAGTAATTGTGTCTTATGCTGTAAGCAGAAATGCAAGCTCAAGGCCAAAGTGAAAGAGGAAACTGGGAGACTCTTATCCATATGTGTTCTGGGTAAAAAGGAAAACAAGTAGGTTTTTAATCTAATAGCTCTAATCAACCAACTTATTATTTTCAATCTTGCAAAATAACATAGGTAACTATTTAAACATATTTTTATCACTATCATAGGTGCAGAAATATTTTAAGAGTTAGTTTTCCTTCAGTAAAACAACAGAATTTTTGGTTTTTTTTTTTTTAATCTTTTTGCAATGCTGAGGGATTGAACCCAGGGCTTAATACATGCTAGGCAACTACTCTACTGTGAGCTACATCCACAGCACTAAAACAACTGTTTATAAAAGGTGCTTTTTGGTAGAGATGACTTTTTAGAATACAAATTTATTACTAATAATCATTTTAACCTATCCCATATATATCAATTAATAATTACGAAGCACATGACTATCTGCTATAACAACCCATTTTGCTATAATATCCCATTTTAAAATGTCAACATTCAGTATCATGGTTCCTGGATAATTATTTTTGAAGAATTATTTAGCTGAGACCATCTACCTGGAATTAACTGGGATATATTCATACAATAGAACACTATATACAGTGTTCTAATTGCATGCAGTAAAAAATGAATAGATTTCCATTGTATGTACACATACATAAATCTGAAGCACATAATGTTGAGTGTTAAACAGTGAGCTGCAGAAGAAAACAGATAGTACACCTTATATGAAGCTCAAAAAATAAAAAAACTGAACAATATAATGTTCAGGGATTCAAACTATGTGATAGAAAACTTGTTTTCCTACTTCTAATTCCCCCCCACCATACCCATTTCTGCCATTTCAATTATGACAGCAGGCTCCCTCCAACTGCCAATGTTTGAAAGAGCCAGGTAAAGGCACAAAATCTGAGATATTATAATTAAATTCATTCATTAATTTGCTTTGAATTGAGAAAGAATTTATGTCTCTCAATTTACGTGTATAAAGAATCCTATGCTTATCAGATTTTGCTTTCTATACACTGACCAGCCTTAGGAAACATTCTCATAGAGACCTATCAATTATTGAAGAAGTAACTATTTATCAGGGAATCCAAATACCTTCAATATCTTGCAATGATTATTAAATATGTTCAATATGTTCAATCTGATATAAAGCAATTAATGTACAAAGACCCTAACTAGAAATAATTCTCATTTTATAGGTTATGAAACCTCAAAGGCAGATATTATTATTGTTCTTCTTACCTGGACATTGAGGTGTAACTTCTTTAGCCGTTTTACCAGTGTTTCTTTATTGCATGGCACAAATGCTTCAAGATGGGAGTAGACACCACTACGAATAACAGGGCCTAATTCTTGTAGCTGTAACTCAATGCTGATCATAAAAACAACAAACAGTATGGAATTTTTTTAGGTGGCAAAGGCTGATTGTTGTTCTCAATTTATACTCCCATGATTTCCCAGACAATTTTTTTCATAGAATTTACCTCCCTTTCCAATAAACAGTAAAACTACAGAAAACAGTCTGTGAGTCTAACTTCAGAGTAAAGTTTATATGACCACAACAAGCTGGCAACATTTTTTTTTTAATGTTTTACAGTTGTAGATGGGCAGAATGCCTTTATTTTACTTATTTTTATGTGGTGTTAAGGATTAAACAGAGTGCCTCACACATGTTAGACAAGTGCTCTGCCATTGAGCTACAGCCCCAGCCCTGGCAATACTTTTTTGATGACAGGCATCAAGTATTTTTGGGTTAACCGAAAGTTCATTTCTTCAAAGAGATATTATGCCAGCCCTCCACATCCTGGTAATCACTATAGCAGCCAGTGACACAGTTTCATTTAATTCCTAGAATATTTTTTTCTTTAAGGAAGTTGAAAAAGTAGAGATTCAGAAAAAAATACCCTCCCCCAGCTATAGACATGAAATACTTTATCTGTCTTTGTTTCCCTTTTTGTGGTATTATAAGATACATATTTAATAGTTTGTTCAACTTATTATAATTTTCCAGTTTCTACTTCTACTTAATTCATTAGCTAAGAGAGTAGAAGAGGAGAACGAGAAGGAGGAGGAAGAAAAGGAGGAGGAGAAGGATGAGGAGCAGCAGCAGCAGCAGAAGAAGAAGCAGGAGGACGAGGATGAGGACGAGGAGGAAGTTTGCTGCAAAAGTTCTATTCTGGGCAGGACAAACCTACCAATAGCAGAGGTCTCTTTCAAGATGGAAGACATTATTACCTAGAAACTATCACTGAATAAAGATAAGAACAGATAAATTTGAAGACCATGATCAAATTTGAGATCTTGGGGATGGGGCTGTGGCTCACTGGTAGAGCGCTCACCTAGCAGGCATGAGACACTGGATTTAATCCTCAGTACCACATAAAAATGAACTATACTGTGTCCACCTACAACTAAAAAATAAATATTTTTTTTAAAAAATTGGGGCTCTTGGCAAAAACTATGTCCAAATCATTACATTCTATTATAAGAGAAGATAAAGACAGACTTTGAAGTACTTTTCACAAATGTAAGATGTATCCAAGGATTAAATTAATAGTTTTTTGGGAAGAAAAGAAACTATATCATATAAAGTATATCCATAGACAAATTGTAATTTCATTTAAAATGAGATGTGAAAAATTATATTCCTTGGAATTGGTAGTAGAAAATTCTTGGTATTAGAAAAGCTAAATAGAAAAGAAAAAATGGAAGAAGTTTAAGACCTACAAGAACCAGGGGGTCAAATTAAAGGTTCACATGGTAAACAACCACTATGATCATGAGTTCTATGTATAGACATTTGTTAGGTAGCATTATGTGGTGAGATAACATGTGTTTAGATAACATCATGAGATTATATCCTCACTAAAAGTCTAGACTCTGGATAGAAGGCCTTCTACCCTTGTCCTGTTAATGAAAGTTCTTTGAAGCTGAAAATTAAAATAGAAACTCCAAGTACTAAGAGATCCCAGGTAAGGGACCTCTGTATAAAAGTCAGTGGTTTCCAAAGAGGTTAACTAAGATACAAGAAGAGCTGACTCTCAAGAGAAACCCTTTATACTAAGATTCCAGTCACTACTCATTGATGTCTCCTCCTTAAAGGAACATCTAACAAAGAGATGGCAGATAGATTTCATTTTAAGTGTACAAAAGGACTGATGGTATAAACCTAGAGCAATTTGTTAAAAAGAATGTTTAGGGTGAATGAGGATCACAGGCAAAGAGTATCATGATTTATCAGCAACTCCTGCTTCAGGTAATAGAGAAGAAAATCAAGTCAGCATGTTGTGTATTTGTAGATTCAGGTCAAATTCAATTATGCAAAAGGAAAAGGGTTCCCCATTCTAACTAACTGATCTCTTTTCCTCCCAGGCATAAGTAAGCAATGGTGAAGCAGAGCCAATATACCTGGACAATTTCATGGGGATAACTACCCCCGAAATCACTGTATGCCTCTCTTGAAGAGCAACTCAGGCTGGGCACAGTGGCATGCATCTGTAATCCCAGCAACTCAGGAGGCTGAGGCATGAGGAGCAAGTTGAAGACTAGCTTCAGAATGCATTAAGTAATAAATTCATAAAAATTTAAAAAAAAAACTAGCTTCAGCAACTTAGTGAGGCCCTAAGTAACTTAATGAGAACTTACCTCAAAATAAAAAAATAAAAGGGGCTGGGAATTTAACTTGGTGGTAAAACACCCCTGGGTTCAATCCCTAGTACCCCCCCCCAAAAGAGAGAGAGAGAGAGAGAGAGAGAGAGAGAGAGAGAGAGAGTAGTCCACAGAAGTAAGGCATGTTTGTTTAGGAAAGTGTAAAGAGAGGCCAGAGAGAATAATAGAATAATGTAACTAAAGGGAAATTCAACTCTGAACCTAAGGACTTAAGGAAATGGAAGCACACCTTCTGTGGAAAAAAAAGTAGGTGGCTCCCCAAAACTCCAAGATTTGTTTCCTGATAGACATGGGAGGACTGAAAATAGAAGCCTAACAGTGGAATGTCAACAGTCTGCTTATTTGAGATGACATGTCCCAAGGATAGTCTCTTGATTCTCTCAGGGGAGAAACACTTGTTCTGTCTCACAGAAGAGTAAAACAAAAAGAACAGTCTCAGTCACAAGAGCTGATCTACTACACTTAGGGCTTTCAGGTGGAAAGAAAAAGAAGAGCTAGTCAGACCCCTGATTATGGAATCTGGGACAGCTCTAATGACTAACAGCAGCACTGTCTATCTGGTGTTTGAAAGGGAGGTAGGTAAAAGGTAGAGACTCAGAAAGAAAGCATTTGCCTTTCTCCAGGCAAACATATCAATCTAGCTAAAATAAAGGACAGAAAAAGAAACTCCTCTGACAAATACTAGCATCATACCAGGTTACATATTTTCTGAGTTCATTTTTAAACAATACAAGATAAAGATATTGCAATTAATTACAAATAGTAATTAGAACTAATCAGTCAATTGATCCTTCTTTAGATCTCACAAGAAACTGTTTACATCATGTATTTATTTAAAAGACAGATTCATGGTATTTCATGTTGTTGTCCTGAATCTTTCCATATGATGTTATAAACCATCAGAGTAAGCATACATTATCATTATCATTGTGATCATCATTATCATTATCACCAAAGTACTCAGGAATGAACCCAGGGGCACTCGACCACCAAGCTACATTCCCAGCCCTTTTTATTTCTTAATTTAAGATAAGCTTGCTAAGTTACAGAGGTTGGCCTGGAACTTGTGATTCTCCGGCCTTAGCTGCCAGAGTGACAGGGATTGCAGGTGTGCACTACTATAACGTCATATGTTATTTTCATCCAAGGAGCTAGATTTGCTGCTTTCATCAGATCATTTTGCGCCTACTTCTTCCTGAAATCAATTATACACTTCATTCTTGTTATCAATGGTTAAAATGTGAGCCAGTAGTTTAAAAGCATTGCTTATTTGACCACAACCTCAGAACCTACAGGTTCATAGCTATCAAATAATTTTACCCTGTAAAATTAGCTAAGCATAAAACCTGATCTAAACATAATCTACGATAGGCATGGTGGCACACACCTATAATATATGCTACTCTGGAGGCTGAGGCAGGAGGATCACAAGTTCCAGGCCAACTTCAGTAACCTGCCCAGACCCTTTCTCAAAATAAAAAATATAAAAGGTAGAGTGCCCTAGTTTCAATCTCCAGTACTGCAATCAGTATCAATAATTTATATATCAGCCTTTACCTTCCCCTTTCCAATCTGTCACTTTCATGTTACTTCCATCCTATCCTACAACCAGGATTTCTTTATTGACCCACACTTTGCATTTGGCTATAAAATTTTGTATGAATTCTAATCAAACTTATGATCCTCCTGCCTCAGTCTCCCTCCAGCTGTATTATTTTTATTTATTTTAAGTATTTTTTTTAGTTGTAGATGGAAACAATATCTTTATTTATTTACTTATATGTGGTTTTATGTGGTGCTGAGATTCAAATTCAGTGCCCCAAGCATGCAAGGCAAGTGATCTACCACTGAGCTACAACCCCAGTCCCTGCAGCTATATTTTGAAATGAATAATTCTAAAGATTTTTTAGTACTAAAAAGAGAAATACTTACTCTAAAAGAATATTATTCATATCCTGTGTAAAGAATTTTTTCCTTCCTTCTTCATCAAAAAGTTTGGCAGCCTAGAGAAACATAAAAAAGACTGTCAATATAACTCATAATATACAAGAACTCTGAGATGAACTACCTAATGGGGAGAAAAAAAAAAGAAAAAGGAACTTCTTAACAGCAGAGTATATAATACCACATAAATTGTGATCCACAATCAGGTATTGAGAGATCCAAATTCAACTGGATATGTGTATGATTAATAAGTTTGCTACAGCTACTGTAACAAATTATCACAAACTAGGTGACTAAATAGAAAGAAACAGTCCAAAGCCCAAAGTCATGTCATTGGGCTGAAATTGAGGGGTGAGCAGGGCTGTGCAGCTCCAAGCCTCTGGAGTGTAGCCCTACTTTCACCTGAATTTCAGTCTCCTGATTTTGGACTTGGGATTAAGAATAATTCTTGGGGCTGGGGATGTGGCTCAAGCAGTAGCGCGCTCGTTTGGCATGCGTGCGGCCCGGGTTCGAGCCTCAGCATCACATACAAACAAAGATGTTGTGTCCGCCGAAAAATAGAAAATAAACATTAAAAAAAATTCTCTCTCTATGGGCTGGGGATGTGGCTCAAGCATAGTGCGCTCGCCTGGTATGTGTGCGGCCCAGGTTCGATCCTCAGCACCACATACAAAGATGTTGTGTCCACCAAATATTAAAAAAATAAACATTAAAATTCTCTCTCTCTCCCTCTCTCTCACTCTTTCTTTAAAAAAAAAATTCTCTCTCTCTCTTTAAAAGAAAAAAAAAAATAATAATTTTTTTTTTTTTTTGCACTGAGGATTGAACCCATGGGTGCTTTTGAGACAAGGTCTTGCTAAGTTGCTGAGGCTGGCCTCAAACCTTCAATCTTGTCTCAGTCTTTTGAATCACTGGGATGACAGATGTGTGTCACTGTGCCCAGTTAAATTTGTGGGGTTTTCCTGTGGTGCTGGAGATTGAACCCAGAGCCTTGTGCATGCAAGGCAAGCACTCTGCCAGTTGAACTATATCTTAGCCCAAACCTCTGTTGTTTTAAGTCACCAAGTTTATGGAGGACAGCTTGCTCCTCATGGTTGCCAGCATTCCTTGGTTGCAGCCATGGCACTCCAATCTTCAAAGACCATATCTCCAATCTCTGTGCTCGGCACTTAACATGGACTTCTCTAGATACATCACATTTCCTCCTGCTTCCCTCTTCTAGACTGCATGTGATTGCATTTAGGGCCCACAGGATAATCTCTCCATCTCTAGACATTTAAATTCATACCTATATCTCCTTTTTACCATAAATGGTTCAAGGGATCAGAATATGGCTATCTTTGGGGAATCATTTTTCAGACTACCACAGATAAAATTCATGTGATTATTAAGAATATTAAAGAATGAAATTTCCTTAAGACAAAAGGTCTTTAGAAACAAAGAAAGATATTTAGAAATTATAATATAGATTATTTCAAAGAAATATCAAGTCTAATCATATGATCAACTCAACAAGAAGCTACAGACTTTTATGAGCAAACTCATTGAATTCAAGAGACTCTATGTGATTCTGCTTTTAAGTTACAGAGTCAATGACAAACTTTTATAAATAGAATACATGGAATTCTATCAAGATTTCTCATTAGAATACAACCAATGATCCAGATCAAATGTGTGGTTAGGAGCAATGGGTATAAAAAAAATTAACCTTATGGTCAATAAAAGCACTAGTCGAGTTCGAATCTCTAAGAGAAAGTTAAAAGCTAAACATGTAGTGAATAAATACAGTCATATGGAACTGATAGTGATTGTTGGGGAAAAAATTTTTAAATTTTTTTAAAAACCCATTCAAATGATGGTTTGACAAAGGGACATTCAATATTCAAAAAGAAGCAATGTAATAATAAATCAGCACTGCCTATTTTTAGATTCAATGACCATCAGAGGCATAAAAGAGTATCCTAATGCCTCGGGAGGCTAAGCCAGGAGGACTTCATTCAAGGCTAGCCTCAGCAACTTAGCAAGACCTTATCACACACAAAAAAAGGGCTGGAGATTAGCTCAGTGGCAAAGTGTCCCTGGTTTCAATCCCCATACTAAATAAATAAATAAATAAATAAACAAACAAACAAACAAACATTCTCTTCATGATGTACTTTAAAAAACCTAAAGTTAATAGACTTAATTCCTTTGAATAAAAATAGGTATGAGAAATTTTGATAAAAAGTTAAACTTTATGAATTTCTGATGAAATTTAAACTTTATAACCTTAAAACATTAATATAATCTAGTTTTAGAAAATTAGATAGTCATCTGGTAGTTGCAATGTGTAAAAACTGTCATGAATCAGTACTTACTGGCCGCTGGGCCTGGCTCTGGCACTAGTGTTTATTAAAGTGATTTCACAACCTACTGATGCTTTAAACTGTAGGTTTAGACATATTTGTTTCTATTTCTATTTATTAAAGAATAAACTTTTTGAGGGTGCGGCTAGTTATTTAACTTTGTATCCTCGTACTCTATTATATACTTTATAATTATTACCATGTTTAATCCTCATAACAGCCAAGGAATTTGGTATTATAACCCCCATCTTACACACAAAGACCTTAAACCTTAAAAGAGGTTTCATGAAATGGCCAAGTTACTAAGTTGTGGGTCAAAGATTCGAACTGAAGCCTTCTGATGTCAAATGTGAACACTGCCACCTAGCACATAAAGACATTGGTTTGGAAAAGCCAGTCTGGGTTTTACTTAATTAACAACAATGAAAAAACTAGTCAAGATTATTATCAAGGTATAAGCTCTTGCATTTCATCAATGCTTCCCATTTTAACCAGATGACCAGACAAAATGTTTTTTCAATCCGGACATTTCTGTCATAATCATTTGTGGCAAAATTTCCTGAGGAAATTAGACATAGGTCATCTTAAAATCCAAAAGATATAAAACATTAAAAGAGAACAATTCAATAACTTGATCAAACCATATGGTGACTATCAATTTATCAAATTATTTGAAAATTTTACATGCTATAAGTAGAAGAGATAAGTTTTGGAGACATGCTTCTTAAGATAGGATGAAGACTAGATGTATACAGAGGCAAAAATATAGAAAGAAAGTCAGAATAAAAGTCAAATATCAAGAAAGGAAATCAAAGTCAAGAGGTTGAACTTGGAAGACTATTACAAAGGGAGAATAGTATAAGAACAAACTGTTTATCAGACAGAGGCATGTGAGCTGAAGATGAATTTTCATCTCTTGAAGAAAAGTACCATTTCATGTTTTAAAAAAAAACACAGAGAATTCACAGGTATCAGTAAGTAAAATGAATCTTATTTATTGATAATTTCCTAATGAGGGCTTAGGAAGAAGCCATGTTAACCTTCAAATGGCTATTACAAGACAGATATTTTTTCTTAAAAGATATGACAGAGCCTTACAAAGTTGGACCCACTCATCACTAACTAATTAGTTTCTGAAGTGAGATAAGTAGCGCATAACCCAGTAGGCAACATGTAAGCACGAAGTGTAATGGTCCTGGCTTTAAAACCTAATTTTGAATTTTGGCTTGGCCATTTAAAAATTGTGTCCTTGGACAAATTATTTAACCATCTTGATTGAACCTTAGTTTCCTCATCTATTAAATGGAAAAACATTGCATTTGCTCACATGTTTCTTGGGAGGACTGTATTCAGCAATAAGTAAAATAAGGCAATAGGGGCACAGCAGTACCATACTCAGTACATAGCATTGAATTTTACTAAATAAATAGTAGCTATAATTTATTTATTTTGCAATACTGGGGACTGAACTGAGGGACACTGAGCTACATTCTCTGCCCTTTTATTTTTTTATGTTGAGACAGGGTCTCACTAAATTGCCCAGGCTGGCCTAGAACTTAACAATTCTCCTGCCTTAGCCTCACAAGTTCCTGGGTTATAAGCAAGTGCCACCATGCACAGTTCAGAAGCTATTATTAATAATTACATCTTGAAAAACCTGTATCACATCACTAGCATTTTTAAAAACCTAGAAAAAAATGAAGAATTCAGGAATGGGGAAATAGGGGGAAAAGAAAGCATGTACTTTGGAGTCAGACAAATCCCACTGCTTAAAAACTCTGGCTCTAACACTTACAAATTCTATTACTTTGACCACAGATTTTTTGATCTATCTCCACTTACATTTCTTAAAAGGGAAACAGACACTACATACTACACTTCATAGAAACATTGAAAAGATTAAAGGAAAAACCCTAAGATTAGGTCAACGAGCAAATTTTTTTAAAGAGCTAAAATAAAGTAACTCAAAAAGGCTGAAAGCAACCAATGAGAAAAGCTATACCATGCAAAAATAAACAGAGGTCTACAGTAAAATCATACAAAATTAAATTGAAGGTAAAAAGCATTAATTGGACCAAAAGGGTAGCCTTCTGATGATAATCACTGCACTAAAGATGCAGCCATCATAATCTTACGAATGAAACAGCAAAAGCGATAGCAAACTCTCAAGTTACAACTAAAAGAAGTATTGGCAATGAGATATTTTAACATATTTCCTCTGAATCCTGGACTCATGATGGGGTATAAAACAAGTAAAAAATAGAGAGGAAGCAATTAGTAAGTCATTACCTTAGAAGAAACAATATAGAAAAATAATAGAATTGATTAATAAAATCCAAGAGCCAGTTGTAGGAAAAATTAGGTAAATCTCTTGCTTCCCTCAGATATTTCTTGAGTTGTAAATATATATTTAGAAAGAAATAAATGGAGAAATGGAGAATGGAGAAATCCTAGCAGGAAAAAAAAGGGTATAAAATAGTTTAAATATTACAATCCCATTAATGATAATTTTTAGCAATAACATATTTGAGGATGTATAGATTAAAATACAGAAAAATAGCTTTTTTTTATTAATATTTATTTTTTAGTTTTTGGCAGACACAACATCTTTGTTTGTATGTGGTGCTGATGATCGAACCCGGGCCACATGCATGCCAGGCAAGCACGCTATCGCTTGAGCCACATCCCCAGTCCCGAAAAATAGCTGTTTTATAATGATTATTTCTGCTTGGGGTAGGAAACGTAAGATAATGGGGATCTTAAGAATGTAATAAAAAAAATTCTGCAATGACTAAACTATGGCATAGGTTCAACAAATGAACATGTCAAAATAATCAGAAAGCATTTTAAGCTAGATTTGGCACATTTTTAATATAAAAAATATTATCTCTCTTTGTAAGATATAACTGGATTTGCAGCTAATTAAACCAATGAAGATTATGAATCTAAGCTGATGTGGAGAGGAATCTATGATGACAGGCCAGTCTCATCTCCAGCTCTTAGCTTTTTCTTTGGTACCAGGGAATGAACCCAGGGATCCTTAACCACTGAACCACATTCCCAGTCCTTTTTATTTTTTTCTTGAGGCTAAGTTGTTAAGGCTGGCTTTGAACTTTCCATCCTCCTGTCTCAGCCTTCCAAGTTGCTAGGATTATAGGCTAAAGTACCTGGCTAAGCTCTTAGCTTGGTCTTACTGGGAACACAAGGCATGTATACTACTGATTAGCTGGGAAAATAGGTTATAAAAACTGGATATCAATCAACACAGACCAAAGAAAGAAGTTCAGGTACATTCCTGCAGTGTTTTTTTCTTTCTTTCTTTCTTTGGTCTATTTTTTTGGGGGAAGGAGGGGGTGTTGAGGATTTAAACCAGGGGCAATTTACCACTGATGTACATCTTCCACTCTTTTACTTTTTGAGATAGGATCTCACTAAGTTGGTCAGGACCTCACTAAGTTGTTGAGGCTGGCCTTGAACTTATGATCCTCCTGTCTCAGCCTCCAGGGCTGCTGTGATTACAGGTGTGTGCCACTACACCTGGATGCCCTATTTTCTTTACATGACTATGTAGATAATAAAAAATCATAAAATCTATGTGAAAAAATATTTATAAGGCGGCTGGGCATGATGGCGCACGCCTGTAATCCTAGCAGCTAGGGAGGCTAAGGCAGAAGGATCGTGAGTTCAAAGTCAGCCTCAATAAAAGTGAGGTACTAAGCAACTCAGTGAGACCCTGACTCTAAATAAATTACAAAATAAGGCTGGGGATGTGGGCTCAGTGGTCAAGTGTCCCTAAGTTCAATCTCTAGTACCCCCAGGCAAAAGTTTGTAAGGTGAACTGAAATAATAAAAGAATCACCTATTCCCATGTTGTAACTATAATTATTTCAATTTAAGAGAAAAAGCCTATGTGGAGAACCAATGTCTAAAAGGGAATATGGAAAATTAAAAGTTGTTGCTAGGGCTGGGGTTGTAGCGCAATGGTAGAGTGCTCACCTAGCATGTAGAAGGGTTTGGATTCGATCCTCAGCACCACTTAAAAATAAAACAAAGGGGGCTGGGGATGTGGCTCAAGCGGTAGTACGCTCGCCTGGCGTGTGTGCAGCCTGGGTTCGATCCTCAGCACCACATACAAATAAACATGTTGTGTCCGCCAAAAACTAAAAAATAAATATTAAAAATTCTCTCTCTCAAAAAAAATAAAATAAAATAAAATAAAGGTATTATGTCCATCTACAACTAAAAAAATACTAAAAAGTTGTTGCTACAAGAGCATTGGGATTACAGGGAATAATTTTTGTCTTTAAAAATGAAGCTTTTATTACTATGTTTGTGCAGCAAATAAAAACCAAGAGAATTATTACACTTACTACACGGAGGTCCTCGATGCGTTTTTCAAGAAGTACAGGTAGACCTTCTGGGAGTGTCGGTACCACCTTAGGCATAACCTGAGAGGTGAAGGTTGGCTGGGTGGTGTTTCCATTTTCTCCCCCTGATTCAGATAGGGGGCTACCATCAGAAGCAGCATCCAGTAATCTGTCAAAGTCAAAATCATCCAGTATCTCTAGGGCATTTTCAGCTTCCTGAAACAATTCGTGTTCATTTGTGCTAACAAAAATGGGGAGCTCTGGATCAGTGCTGTTCAGATTTAATTCTGGGACGTCATTCCCCAATGCTGTAGCAGCACAAAGAGGCTTGGTAAGAGAGGAGGTCGATAAGGTCAAAGGAACTTTGGGGTTAGACTCTGTTTTTAATGCATCCTTCTCTTTCTGAAATTTTCGAATCATGGCAGCCAGAGAAAGAGAATCCTTATATCGTTTCTTCTTTTTTTCAGACTTGTGTGAATTTAGAGCCACAACTCTGTGAAGAAAAAAGCAATCAGTGAGGCTACATATAACTTTAACTATCTTCTGATCATTTTTCATTTTCCACTCTAGGAATAGCCATGTTGGCAACCAGATATGGATATGTGTAATTCTTAATGATAACCTCCTTACATGAACCATAGGGAAAGGTCTCAATTTAGCTGTTGATTCCTCTAGAAATCTTTTCCAAATCCCATGGCTTAGATGTTTCTACATGTGCTACAAAATCTAAAAGACTATTAGTACTTGAAGGGAGGTCAATGTTTCATTTGTTATACACCCCAAACCTACAACAGTTCTAGTGTAGAAGAAAAAATATTTACTTAATAAATTTATAATTTGAAAAAAATTCAATAAAAGGTATTACTTATAGCTTATGTTTCACAAGAGGTTTACTTGTAAATAATAAATATTTAAGATAACCATTAGTGGGCTAGGGTTGTAGCTCAGTGGTACACCTAGCACATGTGAGGCACTGAGTCTGATCCTCAGAACCACATAAAAATAAATAAAATAAAGATATTGTGTCCACCTAAAACTTAAAAAAAAAAGTTAAAAAGAAACCTTTAAAGATAATCATTTTTAATGCACCCAATTTTTCTTCCCCAAATCTTCTAATGACTCTAGGTCATGATTACAACAGTAATCCCATGTTTAGGAGAGAAGAAATACCTCCCTAAATCAATCTTTTGGATACAGAGAGCCTCGGATGCAGATGTTCCTCCCTGCTAAGGAGGGACAGAAAACTCAGATTTTCATAAGTTTTTCCCTTAGATCTGTGAAAAATGCTACTGAGAAGTAGAGACAATGCCAATTTTTAATTATATCATACAAATATTTTATTCTTCAGATGTAAGATTTATTTTCGGTATTAAGGATTGAACCCAGGGGTGTTCTAATACTGGGCTACATTCCCTGATCCGCAGCCCTTTTTATTTTTTAATTTTGAAACAGGGACTAAATTGCCCTGGTTGCTCTCAAAATTTCAACCTTCCTGCCTCAGCCTCAGGAGTTGCTAAGATTATAGGTATGTGCCACCAATCCAGCAGACTTAAGGCTTTTGAAAAATTCTATTTGTTTTTTAGCAGCAATATGTCACCTAAAGTCATAAGCATTAAGAATAGCTAAATAGGGCTGGGGATGTAGCTCGGTGTTAGATTTCTTGGTTAGCATGTGTGAGGCTCTGGGTACAATCGCTAGTACTGTCAAGGGTGTGGTGGATGGAATCAATGACATTTTTTCCCCCCTTTTCCTCCTCTTCTTTTTTTTGTGGTGCTGGGGATTAAACCCAGAGCCTCCCACATGCTAGGCAAGTGATCTACCACTAAGTTATATCCACAGGCCGTGATTTGTTTTTTTAAATATTAAAACAACTATAAATTGTTCATATATAGGGTACTGCTAATCCTTAATCCCAAACATCAAAATTTAGTGTTAGTACCGAAAGATTAAAAAAAGTGGGCTGGGAAAATAGTTCAGTTGGTAGACTGCTTGCCTCACATGGGCAAGTCCCTAGGTTCAATCCCCAGTACCACCAAAAAAAAAAAAAAGTTATTTGAGGGCTGAGGTTGTGGCTCAGTGGTAGAGTGCTTGCCTAGCATGTGTGAGGCACTGGGTTTGATTCTCAGCACTACATTAAATAAACAAACAAACAAACAAATAAATAAATAAAATAAAAGTATTGTGTCCATCTACAACTAAAAAATTTTAAAAGAAAGTAATTGGATCTTTATGCCATCTTTTAAAACTAGCTCTTGCTGGTTAAACAAACAAAAACTGTAATGAGCAAAATGCTCAATGTACTACTCTAAAAATCTGATCTTAAACATCATGAGTCTCATAGATGACAATGCCTTCCAGTTATTAATGTATAACAAAATATCATTAAAACATAACTAAATTACTACTATTTATAAATATTAAATTAGACTTAGCTACTCTTAATTAGTGGTGAACCTTCATTAATTTATTTATTCTAAAAGGAGAAACAGACTATGACAGTAGTTCTCTTATTGGGTTCCACTTACCCCAGTTGTTTAGGTACTTTTTTCCTTGGTTTCTTCTCCTTTTCCCCTTCCTCTTTCCGTTTCCGCTTCTTCATTTCGATATCATCTTCTTTTATTTTGGGAACCTGCAAAATGATAAAATAATACACCATTTATTTATTTATTTTAAGAATGCATCATTTATTTAAATATCAATGCTCTCTTTTTTTGATGTGAGCAGTGGTTTTTCTCAAGTGTCAAAATGTAACAGTATTACTTGCTTCAAGTGCACGTTCTTGGGGTCCATAAGCACTTTCAGTTCTCTAGAATAGGGCCTTCAAATATGAATTTTTGACATGCATTTTGGTGATTCTGGTACAAGTAAGTCTTTGGCCCTCATGTCAGCAAACATTTACCTATGTACATTATTCATTTCCCAAATGCAGTATATCCAATTCTATAGAATTTGTTAATCAGATCTCAAGAAAGGTAACAGTTATCAATAGTCATTTCTTTTTTTTTAATATTTCTTTTTTTTTAATATTTCTTTTTTTTTAGTTTTAGGTGGACAAAATATCTTTATTTTTATGTGGTGCTGAGGATCGAACCCAGTGCCTCACACATGCGAGGTGAGTGCGCTACCACTTGAGCCACATCCCGAGCCCTACCAACAATCATTTCTATAGCAAGTCGTCTTCTTTTTTTTTTTTAAAGTCATTGATGGACCTTTATTTATTAATATGTGGTGCTGAGAATTGAACTCAGTGCTTCACACATGTTAAGCAAGCGCTTTGCCACTGAGCCACAACCCCAGTCCAGCAAGTCTTTACCTATCCTAGAAATTTAACTTTATCTCCAAAACAGCAGACAATTAAACCACATCATAGAGAGTAAAAGAAAACAATTCTGTGATATAAATACCAATTTTCCCAAATCCACATACTTTTATTTTAAAGCATGCATTAAGTATATAATCATTGAGCTATGGTTAATATTTTACTTCTCCTTATATTCACAACTGTGGACCATGTTAAGATTCAAAAGGTATATCCTATTAATTTAACGTTCTCTTTAGCATTGCAGTGTTGGAGAAACTCACCTTGGGTGGCTTGTGCTTTTGGTTGTCTGTGATATCTTCTTCTTCAGTATCTGAAGCTTGGCGAAACTGCAGAGTGCCAGTGTTGATATAAAAGCCTCCATACTTTGTTGTTAAAGAAGCAGGAACTAATTCATCATACTAGATTAAAAGGAAAAACTTTAAGATATATCTTATTGTCTATAACTCTAAATGTCAAATAAATTCATTCATCATGGAAACATTTTCCTTAAAAACTAACTGCAAAAATGACTGCAAACCTAGTAATCCCACTGCTGGGTACATGCCAAGGGCATCATGCTTAATTTAAAAGAAATGAAATGAATGGGGGGCAGGAGAAGTTAGGATAGCAATTAGGATGTCTGCATTCTTGTGGTTCAATGTAGCATTATTCACAACAGCCAAGATACAAAATAATCTGAGTGTCTGTTAATAAATGAATAGATTTTTAAAATGTGGTCTATTAATACAGTGGAATACTATTTAGCCTTAAAAAACAGGAAATTCTGTCATTTTCAACAACATGGATCAACATAGAAAAATACCATATAATCTCCATTACATGTGCAATCTAAATAAACTAAACTTAGAGACGTAGGGCAGAATGGTAGACAGATGCTCAGGGGGAGTAGCAGAAGAGGAAATGAGAGGTGCTGGTCAACAAGTTCAAAATTATAGGTAGACAGGAAGAATATGAACTGGTATTCTATTGCACTGTAGGGTGATTATAGTTAATAATAATGTATATTTCAAAATAACAAGAGAGGAGTTTTCAATGTTCTCACCAAAACAAATGATGTTTGAGGTGACAGATATGACATTGATCATTGCAAACTGTACATGTCAAAACATTATGTTGTACCCTCCTGAAAATGTGCAATTATAATTTATCAATTAAAGAAAAAGAAAAAACGACTGCAATGAGGAAGTTCATAGAATAAATTTAGAAAAAGTTCATTATCTGGAATAAAAGTCAGTTCTAATCATTTGGTATATTTAACAAAGGATATTACCTGATGAGAAAAAGTTAAGGATCCCTACCACTATTTCTTTCTTCATTCTCACTGCTACTATTCTTAATATCAATTTTTTAATACCTCATTTTATTTATTTATATTTATTTGTATGTAGTGCTGAGGACTGAACTCAGTGCTTCACACATGCTAGGCAAGCACTCTACCACTGAGCCACAATGCCAGCCTGATTTCAAATGTTTTTGATGAGAAGTTTAAACACAGTAAAACAGATGGCTGAATGACCATATAAAGAGATTATAATCATACAACTATTCTGTCTTGGTGAGATATTTTATATATATATATATATATATAT